CGGCAAGGGACTCGCACGCGCGTCGCCTTGGAACATCTGATCACGTGACATATTCGCTTCGTGACGAAACGAACGCCCCAGTGACATTTTAGCGGGGTTGGAAACTATTCGATAAATCGCGTGGGGCCCGCTCGACGGGAGGGTGCGTTCCAAGGGACATACGTCAGGACTCGGTCGGTACGTACCCAGAGCAGGGCAAGCTGCATGGGAAGTTCCTAGAGACACATGGGTGCATACCAAGAGACAGGCAGCCTATCGGGTCGAGGGGCGCAGGAAGTACCCGAAAACGGGTAAATACCAACCCGGCAAGGCCTTAGAGGCATATCATGGGAGGGGGGATTTCCACCTTACAAGGACGTGCCTAAGGGGTGGCTGAGGTGCTTACCACTCGGCTCCAGAGGCCCTCCTTCTTTTTCCGTCGTCAACTCAACAAGCTGGTCAACTGTCTTTACAGGAACTTCCTGATGGAAAAGGAACCGTTTTACTGCGCACGACGAATCAGAAAGTCCTGGTTACCCTGCAAGGCGATTCGATGCAGTGTTCCCATGCTTCATGGTCCGGGAAGAACGTCGCGCGACCCCTCAAATCCTCTCCGGGAACACTCCCGAAACCTGGCATGCTACGCAAGATTAATTTGCAGGACTAGGCAAAAATTACTGTAGCGCGATAGTCTAATAGTACATGTGGTCCCACAACGACCATGCCGTCCGATCGATTAGGTTTCCTTCTTCTGCCCCCCCCCTGATTGGTATGACCAATAGATATGCGTCATCGTTATCCTGGACAGCATGTCTAAGGGTTATCCTCCTCGTCGCTGTCGCCCTCGTCATCGCCGTTCGCACCGCCCGTCCATTCACGCTCCCACAATGGCATGCCCGGCATGCCGTTGGCGTCCAGCGGTCGTATCGGCTGCAGGGCAGGATGACCGGGCACGAGCGCCGATCGCGCTTGGTGATAACGCGCGAAGAGCTCCTCGCGTTCCGACAGAAGCTCGTGTACGTATTCGATAGCTGTACAAGCACGTCGGCTCTCTATCAGCAATTCGTTCGTTCGCGGGCGGGAAAAAGGAGTGGAAAATAGGACGCACTCTTCTGCAGCACGACGCACTCGCTCTTCGGCCCCGCGCGTCCGTCGACACGCTCCCCGTCGTCGTTCACCTTCTTCGACCGCCTCTTCTTCCCCTTCTTCCCCGCTTCCTCCTGCCCGTCGGGCAGACCGGTGCCCTGCTCGGCCTCCATGAGGCGGATCGCTTCCCGCAGTGCGGGAACGGTCTCGCACAACGCTTCGTACCCCCTCCGTATATTCGCGCGCCGCTTCTGCTCGGATTGGATATGGTTTGCCTTCTTCTGCGACGGGGACAGCAGCGGCGGCTTCGTGCCGTCGGAGGTAGATGCGGAGGTAGACGCGGCCGGCGGCGACGCGGATTTAGACGACCGTGGCGGTGGCGGGTGGGCGATCGAATACGCGGAAGACGCGGCGCTGCTGCGACGGCGCTTGCTGGCCGCGGGGTTCGGGTCCGTTATGGAACGCTTGGGGGCGGAATGCAGTGACGGGGTATGGAAAGAGGGTCCGGGCTCGGAGGGGTTCCGGTGAAACACCTGAGGGGACGCGGTCGTCGGGCTCGATATGTAATCCCGCTGCTGCTGCTGCTGCAGCGTCCGCATCGACGTGGCGCCGTAGCCCGACGGAGTGAGCTGATGTGGCGTCTGGGACATAAACGGGTTCTGCGGGGTCGGTGCCGCGGAGGGCCATGTCTGAGGTTGCTGCTGGTAGATGTTCGTGTTCCCGAGCGACATGAGGTTCTTCGTCGCCTGCGCGAGTGCGAGGGCCTCCTTCCCCTGTGGCACCGGCGGGACTACGTGCACGCCGACGTCGTGCGGGGCGCCTCCAATACCGAGCTCAGAGGAGTACATCGCCCACTCCGGAGGGACCATCGCGGCGGGGTCGGGGTCGGCGGCATCGGTATAGGAGGCGTAGTCGATGGAGGAGAGGAAAGCGTTGAAAGCGTGATTTTCGTTGGGCGTGAGCAGCGACGACGACATGTGCATGGCTGGGCCCGACTCCGGGGGGACGAGGACCATGTGAAATCCGGGCGAGGGGCCCTATAAGTTATAACGCGACACCAGCCCCGAAAAGGCAACGCCCCTGGTGATCGTGCGCATGATCACCCATTTTCCCCACATCCACTCGGGATCCACCCGTTCGCCAATTTGTTCGCGAGTTCGGGGCTCGGGTATCAGTCACGCAACCCCTTCCAGCTTCGATCACCTACGACGCTCGTAACTTCGTTCGGGACACCGGTTCCCTCGTTCCAGGACCCAAAATACCACCCACAATGTCGGCCTCGCCGAGAACCGGGGGAGACAGGCGCAAGCGCAAATATCGATCGGTCAGTCGCCGACGAGTATGCTGCGGGCATATAGACTTTCATAGACCTCTCGGGCTCTCGTGGGGTGCTGCGTGCCTCAGGGGGGGGCGATGAGCCTCGAACGCTTGGTCAGTGGGCTAACGCGCTTTTTTTCGCAAAGGACGGCACTCCGATATGGTCTAAACGGACCATCGACGGCCCAGGCGTCTGGGTGACGTGCGTGAAAGGTAAAGAAAAGCAAGCAGTCGGAGAACTGTACGATCTGTTCCAATCGGTCCGTATCCTTGGCTCTCTGTTCTAAACACCGCCGTGCGCGTTACGACCGCAGACTATAGCTAGCCAGTGAACTGTGGCCGGAAGATCAAGCCGCGAGCAACATGACGACGGACGATGATCAGGATCGCGAGCTGGACATTGAACAGCAGATCGCCCAAGAAATTGCCGCCATGAAAAAACCGCGCAAAGAGCAGAGATTCGGTGCGTTCGCCCCGGCTGTGCTTACTTGATTCGTCCCACGTTCGGAGTCAGCCCTTGTTGCCAGCCTTGCCGCTTCCTTCACCCGGACGGCGCTTTACGTTCATACTTATCGGGGCCTTGATTGTGGAGGCTCGAGCTGATTCCTCTCTCAGCAAATTGCCAAACGAACACGCCTTGCTGTGAGTCTGGACTTGTCCGAACGGCCTCCCTTCTCCGTGGGAATTCGGGGTATTGCGTGCGGCGTGCCTTTGCCTCTCCTGCGGAACGCCATGCAGGACGTGGATGGTCGCCCGCTCGTCCCCGTCGACGCTGCGGTCGTTCGCATGCGCTCTCACGGCGGCTTGCGTGCAATCTCAGCTCGTCGCCAACTCTGCATCTATGCATCGCTCCACCGCGATGCAAACTGTCCGGACGAAAGGGTTGTCATATTGATGGCATCACGACCCCTCTCGAGCACGCCCTCGTTCTCGGGACCGCGGCGTAGCATTCCGTCTCTGCCTCGAGACCAGCGCCTGGTCACCCATCGCGACCGGAATCTTATCACTCGGACCTGAGATTTCATCCCATTATATCCCGCGACTCACAAAGCGTCCTTCGGACAGTGCTATTTATCGGCTGCAAGGCGCCGGTCGATCCGGTGACATTGATTACTACTCACATCCAAAGTGTACAGCGCACAGGCGTGACCCGAGCGAGGTAGGCTTGTCTTCCATCTCGTTCATCGACTATCTATCCATATGCCAGTTATATTCCTGGCTTTCCGAGGCATGCGTTCGCGCACTGCGGCATCCCCGGCCTCGCACGAACGTAGACCGTTGGAACGCCGAGCATGCGGCCGTAGCGCCCCAGTTCATCTCTCTCGAGCGATCTCGTGCTTCCCATGCGTCCCTCGGTCTTCGCGTGCGGGGTTGCCATGCAGACTGCATTGCCACAAACCCCCTTTCGAGCACCTCCGTCGACCGCATTCGGCTTCCTCTTCGAGACATCGTCCTCGGGAATCTGGACTGATCGCGCGCAAACAGGCACTGTCATCGGTTCACGCCGGTGTCCAACACGGTCGTGGCCAACCTGCCCGAGATCCGCGGCCTGTGCGAACGCGTCGTCACTCCCTTCTTCGAAGGCTCCGATGAGAAATACAAGGTGGGTTTTGCGATGCCCCTTTCGTCTTTGCTCTTGCCTTCATATCCCTCGGCGATCCTGTGGGGAGTCTGATGGGCATAGATTAGAGTATCGTCTGTTTGCCGTCGATCTACTGATCATCCTGCTGACAGTATAAAATCGAACTCCGTACGCGCAATCACACGACGCTCGCGCGACCGGAGGTGATCAAGGAAATCGCATCTTGCGTTCCTGAGGGACACGTAGTCGACCTCGAACATGCGGACGTATTCATTCTCGTCGAGATTTTCAAGGTGCCTCGTGACGATAGTCCCGGCTATTCATCTTTCGCCTTTACTCACGTCATCCGTAGAGTGTGTGTGGCATCAGCGTCGTCCGAGACTATTATGCAATGCAGAAGTTCAATGTTATGGAAATTGCGAATGTAAAGAGGAACGAAGACGACTCGGAGAAGATGGATCAGTAATGATTGTCGTATTTTTAACGCAATGATTACAATCATCAATTTCGCTATTGTACAACCGGCATCCTTGCGATATGATCCCTTCACGTTGCTAGCTCGAAAGAGCATACCTCTTGATAGGTAAAGATTTGATTCGCGTAACGCCTGCGGGGCCTTGTGTCAATCGCACTTTCATTATCACTATGGCCATCGGCGGTGTGTATGTCGCCGATTCACCTGTCTCAGCTCTTGCGCAACGTCTGGTTTGCTGACCACTGCTTTGGCTTATTCACGTATATAAAATGTTGCGCTCGTTTACTGCCCGCTGTCTCACCATCCCCCTGTGGCGTTCGACGCTAGGGATAGGGATCCCGCATGGAACCTGTTAGTGAGCGACGCCTCCAGACTTGGGTCATGAAGAAGGTATCGCATTGTAACCATGGCTGCTAGAAGTATTTTGTAGTACACATACGGTCGTTCGTATCCAGGAAGTTCGTATCAATGGCAGTGTAAAATTAGATCAATTGTTTCAAGAATTCTCTTCGCGCTTCCCGTGGACACGACGGAGAAACTCTTCGAATGTTGATACCCGGATGTCGGGATACAACTCTCGAGCATCCAACGCCCCCGCTGCCTTCGCGGTCGCAATATTGTTGTCGCCTCTAATATGGATGCTGTACGCGTACTCCGCGACAGCCAAACCATAAAGACTGGTGAGATCGGGATTTTCGCGATATTTGGCCCGAAACTCTGTAGCTCTCTGCAACAATTCGTCTGCGGAGACCTATGATCAACATAATGAGCAGCTGTAACTTGAATCTAAGGCGACAGAAAGCGGACCTGAACCGTCTCCTGCAGCCATCCAGACCCTAGCACTCTTGTGGCTGTAGCCCATGCTTCTGCCTGTGTCAACTCGTCCTCCCAGATGTACACCCATTGGTTCAACGTCCTCGGGTCCTCGATGATACGGGCGACGAAATCTCCGATATGGTTCAAGTCCGTCACAGCAAATTTCTTGTCGCCATCTCCGTAGAAGGTCCAAGCGGTGTCCAATTCGAATCCAGGTACTTTTCCGGGAACCGTGATCTGCATCCACCAGCCGACATCGATATACGTGTGCGGAAGCCCTAGCTCCTCTATGTAGTCGTGGATGGCGTATTTCTACCGTGGGTGGTGAGCACATACATGCAACGTGCAATCAGATGCATGGTACGTACATCATCGGCCAGTTGGCGTATCCCGCGCGGAGTGTAGGTGGCCCAATCGTCCGGCACCACGCGCACGTTCGGATTCACATCCTTAGCCGCTGCGAATAACTTGCGTTGGTCGTGGATCAGTCCGGCGTATATTGCGCTGATGAGTACATCGACGCCTTGGAGGATTTCTACCAGCTTCGCATGGCCGTCCGTCGATATGTCTCCAATCCTGATCTCTACGCCTTTCGCTGCCAGTTCCTTGATGTACGGTTTGTTGGCGGAAACAGGTCTTGTCAGAACGGCAACCCGCTACCAACACGATAGTAGTCAGTGCACCAGAAAGGATGAGGACGAATGCAATGGAAATGTGTCAAACGCACGAATTTACCGTGCTTGAGAAGTCCTGTGACGATAGACTTGCCCGTTCGTCCGGTGCCTCCGACTACTAACACTAAAGGACCACTTGTAGCCATGTCTGATCAGGGACACCTCGAGAGGGGAAAGATGCGAGCGAGCCCATGAGTTTATGAGGGCTCAGCGCGTGCTTCTCAAATCTTCTTACTCATCCCGTTTCTCATGCCAGCCTGTGAACTCAAAAGACTGTGTCGGCACTTCCTTGCAAATGCCCTCTTCGACGTTAGGCACATCATTACATCCTGTCTTCGATTGTAGTTCACGCCTTCTTTGCTTCCATGACTTGTTATCTCGAACCGGAACCTAGACTTTCACCATCTCTCCTCGATAGATTAGAAGGACACGATCGTGAACTTTACTGTCGTACATACGAGAGCTTTTCCAGACCGCATCGCACTACAGCCGTTCACATGCTCCGCCATAAAACGCATAAAACGCTTCCTGGAACAATACCTACTCATCCAGCCTTAATTTGAGCAGTCTATACACCGCCTGTCTACCGCCTGTCTCAGAAGAGCTCCCAAGGTTCCATGACATACCCTTCTGCTAAGCCGTCCAGGATTCCGATCGCGATGTCGCTATTTAGGGCGTTAACATGCTTCCCAAGGGCTTCATACTTCATGGCTCTGTCGAAGTCGATGAGACGCCAACCGTACGTGCGGCCCGTATACGGAGAAGGCAGACTCGGCGAGTGAGATGGGGCACGACGTATATGGTTATGTCTTATGTCGCCGTGCACGATCCTAACATGGCCGAGCTCGTTGATTAACGACAAGATCTCCTGACTGCGTAAAGTTAGAATCAGATAAACAAGTCCGAATGGTGATCATCGCAGCGTACCGTAGATCTATGGTCATGGCGGGGCCAAGTGGCAGTTTCTCGTCGCCGAGGTCTTCAAGAAGAAGTATAGAAAGCTGTCTCCCCTTTCCGCGCGGGATAGGGCGCCTGTTCTTGTTCTGCCGCAAAAAAATGTTCGAAGTTTCGTCCAAAGGGTTTTCAGCCTCGTTCGAGGGCTTGTCCGAGCACTTGCTCCCAGGCCCGTGAGAGGAGTGAGGAGATTGATGCGCAGTCCATGGAATCGGTGTGACGGGCTCTGGTAGCGGTGCCTCAAAAAATCCGTAACAGCGAGCCACTACAGACCCCTGGCATTGTCTCATATCATCGTAAAACCACGCTTCCCGGGCGAGATTGTCCGAGAAACCCTCTCCTGCGATCTTGACTACGAGCGGTGGAATTCGCATGTCAACAACCGATCCATCCAGTGACAGGACGCGTGCGGATTGAAGCCGATAGGCGACACCGACGCGGCCGCGAGAAAGCTTAGCGCCCAGAATCACCTCCAAGGTGATAGGATCTTGGGGATGTGGCGACAGCGGGTGAGGTGGGATGTCGTCGGGCGGGGATCGGGCAAAAGTCAACTTCGGCACATAGTCTGCAGGTACGTTTTCGCGATGGAGGCATATCGCTGGATGAACACCGGCGTCAAATAGACCCTGGATGATGTTGAGCTGAACCACGGAAGCGGTGTCCTGAGGTAAAAGAATATGAGTAAATGGCGAAGACATGAATGTTGGCGTCTACCAAGCTTCTGCCAAGCATTGGGGAGTCGAAGATAACTGAAGGAGTTGCTTGTGTTCTGCGACGCAATCGCCGACCGTGTTCGAGGAGAAGATGTTCTAGCGCTGCGAACGACGGCTCTATCATTATATATACAACTTGATTCTCAGATTCCGCACGTGACTCTTCTTCTCAAGCAACAAAAAGCTTAGGCCGAATGGACGCACTTGGCTGTTCTTCGTGAAGTCAGGCAACTGCGAAATCACGTTTTCCCCGCCCATCCATCGGGACTCTCCGGTTTTGCTACAAATTCTTGCAGGTTTTAGCATGATCGCGATCGAGTCGAAAGCGGACGCTGGAATGATTCCTAATTTGACACAGGGGAAGAACGCGAACTGGGGGGGGGGGCCGTCAATTTCAGGGTCAATAATTATGTAGAACGTTAGAATATTGACTGGGCGACAAATCGGAAGATAACGTAGCGTTGAATGATGCTCGTACTTGACGTGAACCAGAAGGCCGATGACGACGCGTATGTTCATTCTGGACCACGGCGATTTGTTTGCTCGTGAATGAAGGAGTGACATAAGGTACAATCGACATGGGAAAACGATTGGGTGTAGATGAGTGTCGATGCGCGAGGCTGACACAACACCCAACACTTTACCTATGTAAGAAAAGTATGTTAGAAACGGGGCCACGAAACGTTGGGTGCCGAAAAAAAGCACAGGGGAATTCACGTAGACCTCAGCTGCGTACATCGCCAGAGCCTTCGGCTTGACATCCAGGTACGAGACTGCGAGTATTTATTGCTCTCAACTTCTTAGCGTTCCGTTCGCGTATTCAGCCCAAGCCTACTGGAAGCACTCGGTCAGATCCACGAAACAACCGATACACTGTCTTGATCCTGCAAGACGCTCAAGTGATTTCTCTTCCACCTGTTGGCGACCTCAGGAATAGCAAATGGTGGAAACGGTATGTTATGCCTTACAGAAACCCTGGGGAACGTTTGACGGGAGACGCGTTCTCCGATCTCCCTAGCCGGACACGGAGACGTACTGAGATAAGGTACTGGGGTCCACGACGACCCTAGGAGATTAGGCCGATATTGTCCAAGTGTGTGATGTAAGCCTTCTTGTTTCCTTCGCAAAGTTCTGGGACAACATGGCTACGAGCTTCCGGTCGTTGTTGTCTGGACACTGCAGGAAGCGGCAGGATATAGTTCGCCCGTCATCCCATGTCAGTGAATGCACACCCGACGTCGAGGCTCCCCACACAGTCTTGAATATCGTTTTTCTGTATTGCCATGCGTGAGAGCATACCAACCCAGTACTCACCTGCCACCAGGCTCACCTGATCGGGCACCTACCTCACCCACCATGAGGGCAATGTGATCATAGGATCCCACCCGTTCAGGTGAGCGAGGCAACCCAACAGATGTAGTCGCAAATTGTGACGCGTTTCGCGCCGGCCTCCTTCTACGGCGAAGAACAGAGGCTTCTGTTGGGCTTCTGCAAGCGCATCACGTGTTCCCACCATCGTATTGGCGCGCCCCCGTCACCTTCGGGTGCACAGCTACAGGCAGACGTGTCTCTTACTCGGACGGCGCGATGTACAATGCAAGGTCGACCCTTCCGTACTCAATGCTCAAGATTATTGTCGCAGCGGTCGGCTTCACGATGCTGCTCGCGCTTCAGGGCGTTGAGGCTAGCGAACTTGCCGGGGAGAAGATGGTAGAGAGCTTCGTGGTGACGGTAAGCCCACGATGCAAGTTGTACGCGTCGACGACTTGGAGCCAGTACACCGTCATGCAGTGGTACTGTTTAACAGACTCAGGGTGTCGTCGACGGCAGCATATATCACCTCAGGCTCATCGCTGTCCCTTGCCAGGGTGCGGACATACACAACACGTTGCCCGTTCGTCAGCTGTCGATGATCAAGGAGGCGCACGAAGCCAACGCCTCGCCTATGATGCGTCAAATATTCGCATGGTTCTTCCCATTCGGGCCAGCCTGGAATAGCAGTACGCCCTGTCCCTGCAATGCAATAAAATCGTGCTTTACCTGTGAACGTCAGTCCTCGCCACGTTCTACATCTCGTCCGTGCCCAACTTTATCCTGGCTTTCATCCCCGCGCAAATCAGCTCGAACACGCTGAACACCATGACGGCTTTCGCGGTATATGCGCATCTTTTGAGCACGCCCGAAAAGCTCCATGCTCACAGAGATTTAGACTGGCGGCCTTCTGTCAGACGTGTTTCTCCACCTTGTTCCGCACTCCTTCATGGGGGAACCTTCCGAGGGCGACGACGGGGTTCGGTTCGTCATGGTTGAAGAGAAACGTAACATCCTTGTAGGGTTAGTGTCTTCCTGGCGCGTCTTCATCCCTATGGATTGATCAAGGAGCAACGCAGACTTGGTATATTCATTGGATTTGCGTCGTTCTTCGTGATGGAGAAGACTTTGCGCGTCCTCGGCGGCGGGGAGGATAGTCACGGACATGCACACGAACATTCGCATTCTCATGGCCCGGACGGTACGTCATGGCACCTTTTCATGCATACAGAAGGTTCACTCTCCACTCAGAATCGGCGGCACACTCGTCCGCTATTGAAGAGAAAAACAAGGACGGATTGCGTGCACGAGGTGCTAACCCTGCCAATGGCGATACCTCCAAGGCCGAGGAAACTACCGAAACCGTGCACCAGACGTCGAAACTGTCCGCGTACCTCAACTTGTTCGGCGACTTCGTGCATAACATCACCGACGGGCTCGCGTAAGTCGTCGTGCTCGCTCGTTGGTACTACTAACGTGCTCACGCTGCGCGTATAACCAGCATGGCCGCGTCCTTCTACTCGTCGCCCCTCATAGGGGCTACTACTGCTCTCGCCTGCTTCGCTCACGAGATCCCACACGAGATCGCCGACTACTCCATCCTCGTCCGCAGCGGGTTCACCAAGGGCCAGGCGATGAAGAGCCAGTTCCTTACCGCGGTCGGCGCCTTCGTGAGTGTTGTCGGGTAAAAGACAGTCGTCTATACTGAACGGCCTCCCTTCCCTAACAGATCGGAACGTTCATGGGCATCGGTATTCACAACCTGTCCAACAGCACGGAAGAGAGTGGCGCAGACGATCTAGGCGCCGCCGTGCGACAGGCTGCCGCGGGCATCCTGGGCACTACGGTCAGCTTGGGTGATCTGGTACGCCGTTCCGCTGCTTATCTTGACGCGCATCAAACTAACGAGTATCGTGCGATCTCTTGGTCTAGGTCATCCCGTTCGTCGCGGGCGGCTTCATGTACATCGGTGCGGTCGCCGTCTTACCCACGTAAGTCCGTGCTCCGGTCTCGCGTCATCGTCTAAACCTCTATCGGTGCTCCGAGATGATCGTGCTGACGGATCGTCTCGCCTTATTTAGGCTGCTGGCCGAGAGCAAGAGCGTCTCGCAGGCCCTGAGAGAGTTCGGAGCGATGGCGTTCGGGGTGCTCTGCATGTTTTTGGTCGCGTGAGTGCAAACGGCCTGGCTCGGTGGCGTCACGCCGTTTGTCTCTCGGCTAATTGCTTGTGTTGACCGACAGGTGGAACGAATAGAGGGCAGGCGGACTAGAAGCATTCGGGATGGTATAGGCCAATACGTCGTTGTACATGTGCGTTTCCTTCGGCCGAGTAGGTCGCGCTTCTCGTCGGTTCTGGCTCGCTTAGACTGCCTTTTCTCAGATAATTTAACCCTGCCTTAATCTTATGGGTTTTTAATGCGCGCACGGTGACGGCATGGACTCGTTGTTTCCGCGTGTTCGATTTTGCAGACGGCCTAGGCCGTATGGTATGGAAGTGTTGAACGAGTTTATCGGTCATGACCCAGTGAGGTGAAGGCCAATGACTTTCACGGATGCCGCAATTTATGACAGGATGGTACGCATCTTCTATGCGATCGATGACAGCTTGGTTGATAGGTCGACCAAGCGAAGACGGAGGAAGAGGCGAGAGTTTTGTCGCCAACAGCCGGGCGCAGCGCTGGCAAGACGGAAGAGGGTTTGACCTGAGAACAGGATGGAAACCACATACGGTAGGTCGCATCGAGGAGGTGTGGTCCGTCCGGGGCTGCGAGGCTGACGGTGTTTGACTCAGGCTCCGTAGCCTCGCGTATGCCCGACGTAGTTCGTGCCTTGTCCTCCCACGGAGCTGGCAGGTAGGCCCCCTCCAAAAAAGCGATACGTCTCCTCAACAGCCTCGATCCCGCAATATCCAATTGATCAGTATACAGTTTTCTGCCAGATGCCTGCGTGTTAGGATGCCGGAAGGGAGAATGGGGGCGCGGCGTGCGTCACGCTGGGGCGGCAGCAACCTAGGGTTCGAGACCGAGCTTGTGAGGGGCCGTCGGGACGGCAGAGCGTCATCGACTTGCGTCTTAGCGCAGGCTGTTGGTCAGGGCCGTCGAATCCCTGTCATGGTTAAACTGGCGAGTGGCGTTGCAAGGAGGAGAACATGTTGGCAAGAAGGAGGGGGGGGGGAACGAGAGAGAGTTGGAGGGAGCGTGGAGGGGCTGGGCCAATGTTTACGTGGCTATCCTAATTTCTGGCGCACGTTTGTTGGACTTTTTGTTACGGGTGCCTTGCTTACTCGCTTGTCAGTGTGAGCGCGGCTTCTATTATGCCATCTTGGAGTCACAGCATTGACCTCGCCTTGCTGTTCAGGATGCTTTCTGTATCACGTTTCGGAGGAAACGGAGCCGCGTCGACCCATGAATAATCCCGGTGTGTCTTCGTTGGGGCCTTTCTCTATTGGCAGCAATGCGGCGCTGATTGCTCAGGCCTCAGGCCTTCGGTTCCGGCATGTACGCGCCGTGAGGCGAGTCTGGCGGTAACGCGCGGTGCGACATGTACGGATCTCTCGGAGCAATAGTGCGGAGCACAATAGCATGTTATATGGTCGTCCCGCGCGGCCAAGTGGGCGCTAGATTTTGGCCGGTGACTCGCTCAACGAACAGCCCCACGACAGCTTCTCGACGCAGCCGGGACGAAAATCGGGATGCAATCTCAGGTCGGTCTTTCTGCTCGAGCGATGAGGTGTTTTCGTTCAGATCGTTTCGCTCGTGGATGATCCGGGTATGAAGACTTTTACAGTGGCGTCTCTCGCCTGCTCCACGCTACCAAACCTGAATAAACCCGGAGTGCAACTTTTCGTCCATTGAATGACCCTGGAAACCCAAACCCTGCACTGGATAGATGCGCTTCTGTTATCAAAGACCATGACGTTGATGAGAGAGATGAAAGCTGACATCGTCATCTAGGCCATTCAGCCAGAACTACGCCTGTAGCTGCATGGTTACAGAGTGCATGGATGGCATTCATACGGATGACTGTATGTCATACCGCGAAAACCCCGACCGTGATGCAATATCAAGTGGACGCTCTCATCCGCTTCTATCCCTGTCTTTTCTCCCAAGCACGCGCAAACCGCCTGTTTGCGAACAGCAGGAAGATATTCGAAAGGCACCCGTGTTGGAACGGCTGAGTTTGTCGGAAGGGAATGTCAGATGTTGGAACGCGACGTCACGCGTAGCTCGCCGCGAATCACAACATTCGGGCTACAAAAACCTTCTAGATATATTTTTGACCCAGAACGTTCGAATACGCTCGCATCCACCTGTTCGAAGCTTGAGCCAAAGAAGCACGAGTGGGCTGCGTCAGACGTTCGCACGGGGGATCGCCCAAAGCGGGAAATGTGGCTTCTCCCGGGCGGATGAACGTGCGTGAGCGGGCTTCGTCACTGGCTGACCGCGTAACGGGCTCGGCAGCGCGATGCGACCACCGCTCTTAGGTCCCTCCCCTGGGCCGAACACGGTTTCCTGAATCTTTCCCATTATTCATCTCTTGCACCGCGTCCTGTTCTCGACACAAATAGTTTTCCATCTGTCGTCGCCCCTCCCCTCCACCCCCGAGTCGTGTGGCCCTTTAAAACAGGTCTGAAACAGCAACACCCTTACAGCCCAGCTCGCCACAGCGCGGCCTGACATACCCAACAGCCCTGCAGCAGCACCATACGGCCCTCGTAAATCCGGTCGGAGCCAACCCCACACTCTCGCGGCAAGGGTCACATCGCTTCCAGCTCCTGGCAGGCGGTACACGTCACCCACTCGAACAGGGCCCCTGCAGCCCTCCTTGGCACCGAACCACGACAGCAGAGCACTAGAAAGAGGCGCCCGAACGCACCGTCGAACCCTGGCATCGTCAACAACCCACCACCTCGTCGAAGTCGACTTCTTCGACCACACCACCACCGCCTTCGATCCCTCGACCCCGACAGCGAGTCGCCGGCGACGACACCCATGGCGACGAAAGGACGCTCGACACCGCGCATCGTGTGCTGCGCCATCCCTATCGCGCGCGCCTCCGGCAAGGTGCTCGTCATCACCAGTCGGAAACGTCCGGATAGATGGGTTTGTAAGTGCTCGCAGCAACAACTTCTTTTCTTGGACATCCCCGGCCCTCCTTCGTCGTCTTTTCTTCTGTTCCGGAGTTCTATCTTTACCCCTGTCTCAGTCTCCGTTACCCAGCAGACGCTGACAATCTCGCGTGTTCCCTCATCACAGTGCCCAAGGGAGGATGGGAAGCGACGGATAGAGTGCTGGAGGCGGCGGCGTCGAGAGAAGCGTTGGAAGAAGGTCTCATCCTTTGACTCTCCCCGTGGATCCACGTCCTAATATATGCCCCTCCCCTTCCTCCCCCCGCTCACTGCCCGCGTTCGTTTACGCCCCACCTCCCTCCCCCCCTTCCTCTCTCGAAACAGCTGGCGTCCGCGGCACGATCACCCGATTCGTGGTCACGATCCCGTCCGCGTCCTCGACGTACCACTTCTACGAGCTCGACGTGTCCTCGCTCGACGCCGACTGGCTCGAGTCGGGCGAGCGCCGGCGGGAGTGGGTCGACTTTGCCGAGGCCGTCAACCGCGTGTCGTGGAAGGCCGAGCTGGCGCAGGGCCTGATGCTCTCGTCTCTCGCGCCGAAGCGGTGACCAAGACGACAGCCCCCGCGTCCAGAGGTCAAGATTATCCCGACGGAAGCATCGACGGCCGAGGATACATCCATCGCTCCCATGGCCCCTAGAGAGGAACGTGCTTTTGCACATCCACACCCCCTGGTCGCTTGGACGCCGAGCCCCCAGCTAGTCGCAACGTCGCGCCCGAATGCTTCCCTTTCCCCCCCTTCATCTCATTTGCGTAGATCTTCTTTATTCCACTCCCCCATCGAAATCGTCGCTCGGACCCCGCTTTTTTACAGTACTATCGCTCATCTCGCATATTCAGCACGCTGCAACCAACCAACAAACAATGACACCCAATATCGACTTCGTTCAATCGCATTCATCGGAGACTGCATCCTCCCCCCCTCCTTCAATGGATTTCGTAACGGAGTCTCAGCCCATCACCCCGATTGCAGACTTAGTCGCATGCATGTAATTCATACCTTGACGCGCCTACGAAGTCGCAATATATAGAGACCACAGCCGCCTTTTTTTTGTGCTATGACCTCACGAGGCCGTGCCTTGAGATTCGCGTGAACATATCTAACCCAGTGTAGTTTCCGAAGGCAGGATTTCGGAAGCATGTACTCTTTTTCTTCGCCCTTATCATTCCCTGCGCCAAGGACTCGGTCACATGTGCTTCTACATTGGTATTTTTTGTGGCCATGGCGTTGGGAGGCGGTGAAACTCGCTCTCGTCGCACAACTTTAGCGTAACGACTGGGTAACAACGCTCGGGTTTGGGACGACGTTCAACAAGATATCAACTCTTGTTACCTACCAATTTCCCCGCTATCAGTCGACAACCGCATGGATCGACCCGTATCGCTGCCGTCCACAGCACCGCGCATCAGGCACGTCGATTGATGGTATCCTCGTGGTTCCCGTCGGCGTACGACCGAGCCGGGCACCACACCCGCCACCGCCCTTACGTCGCGCATAAAAAAACCATGGGCCAGCTCGGGCGGAGGCCTCGGGCGCCCCCGTCATCCTTCGTGGTCCAACGATCCCGCCGTTAAGCAGACATGCTCGTCCTCCAGGCTGTCCTCGCGCTGGTGCCCCTGGTCCTCTCCTCCGGTCTCGTCGCCGCGGCGCCGTCCAAGCGCCATGGCTCGTCTTCTTCCTCGGAAACGACGTCGGTGTACGACAGGTTGGGCAATTTGGCGCCGTACCACCAGGCCCCGGTTCCGTCTGGAGTGCACGAAGACCTGCCCTCGGATTGCACGGTCGACCAGGTCATGCTGGTGAGTCGAAGCAGGGGCATCTTTCATCTCCAATGTTTCTGAGCGGAGAGTAGATGGGACGTCACGGAGACCGGTACCCTCTCGGCTCCGAGCTCGTCTACATCCAAGGCCTGGCCTACAAGATCGGAAACGCGACGGCTGCTATCAAAAAGGCCAAGCTGCCCAGCGACCTGGCGTTCCTCAAGGACGGGTACACCACCAAGCTGGGCACGAACGACCTCACGGCTCCCGGGAGGCAGACGCTCTTCGACCACGGCGTCGCGTGAGTAGAACTTACATGAGGTCCATATATGCGCGTTCGGGGTGACGCTGAAGCGATTGTATGCGCAGCTTCCGCCTGAAGTACCCCCAGTTCAACGCGACCGCCATCCTCGCTGGCGCTCAGGACCGCGTTATCGAGTCCGCCCAGTGGTTCGCTCAGGGCTACTACGGCCGCATCTGGCCCAACATCTCCTCGACCGTGTTCTCCACCATCCCCGAGGACGACGTGACCATCTCCTGGATCACCCCCATGGACACCTGCGCCGATTGGGACTACAACTACGGCAACAACGTGAGTTCTTGCGCCACCCCCCCCCCCCCCCGCGCCGTACCTCCCGCACCCTCGAGTCGGCTTACGCTGATCCACCGTTGCTTGGGTATATAGGCCACGATCACCTGGGGCAACGTGTACCTCCCGCCGATCGCGAAACGCCTGAACAAGGCCATCCCCGGCGTGAACCTCACCACGGACGACGTGCACGGCGCGCTCTACGCGTGCGCGTACGACCTCGCCGCCTGGGGCACCTCACCCTGGTGCGGCGCGTTCACCGAGTCCGAGATCGCCGACTTTGAGTACGAGCTCGATGTGCTCATGGATGGCGCCTTCGGCTACAACCTCCCCGGCAAGATGGGACCCACCCTCGGCGCGCTCTACGTCGACAAGCTCATCGAACGGTGCGTCTCTCTGCTGCGGAAGACGCGTCGGAGATGCCTGAACTGACGCTTCCTTGCCTTCTTTTTTTTATTTACCGCAGGTTCTCGAACAAGACCGGCGACGCGGAGCCCATCTACCTCGAGTTCGGCCACGACACCACCATCGACATGATCCTGACTGCCCTCGGCCTCGCCAAGTACGTTTAACCACCCACCACCCACCCTTCCTGACCCCCCCAAACTCACCGTTTCTCTCTCTCTCTCTTTCTCTCTCTCCCACAGGGACACGCCAAGACTGAGCGCCTCCGGCCCCGTCCCCGCGCACCGCAAGTGGCGCACCTCCGAGCAGGTCCCCTTCGGCGCGCAGATGATCTGGGAAAAGTTCAGCTGCACGTCGAGCTTCGAGGGCCCCCAGATCCGGCTCGTGCTCAACGACGCGCCGATGCCGCTCACGTTCTGCGAGACGCACGCGACGAAGGAGTACGGGACGTGCGCGTTCTCCGACTTTGTGAAGGCGAACGCGTTCTCGACGAGCATCACCTGGGGCGACGCGGCGTGGAACGCGACGTGCGGTGCCTCCGACTTTTAGTAGAGACGTCGTCGTTGTTTAATACCTTAAGCAAAGGTCGTAATATAGTGTAATGCCCACTGCTTGATTGGATGCGCGAAGCATGGAAATAAGTACAGGACGAGGTTATGAATAGAGCGCGACGCGTCGATTCGCGTAAACAGACGTCAACGACACGTCAACGCGCGCAGAGCACATCTTGTGCCTTTCTCTCTGTTGCTGTGACTCCAGCGATATAAAATTGAGCGCAACCGTTTATCCCAACAGCATAGGAGCGGCGGCATGGCTGCATCCTCGTACCCATCCCCCGCGGAAGCTACGATCGTCGCACAATGCGAGAAGTTGATGCACGAAACCATGGCGCGCTACGATCCGTCGCACGACGCTTACCACGGTACGGGCTCCGCAAAGCTCTGGCAAGAGTAGCTGATTCTCATCTTAGATTGCTAGTGAATCGCGTGCGAAAAACAGCGCTTTCGCTGGCGTGCTCGATGACGCCCACGCCTGATCTCCTGGTTATCGAACTCGCAGCTCTCCTGCACGACGTTTTGGACAAGAAGTACCTCCCAGTAGATCAGAAAGACGTCGACGCGTACACCTTTTTCTTGCCCTACTTCCGTGAATGGGTCGAGATCTCTCGCGTCCAGCCAGGTACAAACGAAGAGACGGGCAACGCCGATCTCGCCGGGTTGGACTTCATCGCGGACGGGAGGGCAAGAACGATCACTAAAATCGTAGAAAGCGTGAGCTGGACGACAGAGAGGAAGCTCAGGGCGATGGAACCGAGTGGATGGACACAATGGCACGAGAACTGTGTCGAGCTCCATTGCGTACAGGACGCTGACCGGCTTGACGCCATCGGCGCCTTCGGTGTCATGCGTTGCGCCGCATTCTCGTGCGCTGTCAAAAGGCCGCTGCACACGCCTCCGAACGATCCCATGCACGAGGTATCGCTTTGCTCTGACGCGTCTACACGTGCGTTTACGACGGTCACACAGGAGTCATCAATTGCGCACTTCCACGACAAGCTCCTACACGTCATCTCAAGACTGAAGACCAAGGAGGGAAAACGGCGCGGGCAACGGAGGCATCAATTTGTGAGCACCTTCGAGTTCGTTCCAGTCGACGAACCGGATCCTAGCTTAGCATGATGACCAGATGCTCGACTTCCTCTCTGCAGTGGACGAGGAGTATGAGGGAACCTCATGACACCATTCTAACGACGATGTAGATGTTGCGGGTGAACCGAGCCATCCTCCCTCCCGAGACGCTGCTGAACGCGATCATTCCAGACTTGCGTCACAGCGAGCTTCGTGTACCGCGTAATAAATGGCGATCTAAGGATACAATGGGGATATGCAATGGTCCCGGAAAAATCAATCAAACTCGCTCATATCGAAATTGAACATCGAATGCTATGCTCGCGAAATTCAGCAGGATCCCACATTATGATCGATCGTTGTGTCCGCACCTTATACAAGCTCATCACCTTTACCACCCATGCTTCCAGATGGAAAATCTTCTTCTGCCCTAATCGCATTCGGGTCTCCTGCATACACGTTAGCACAAGGTCACATGTCAACAGAGGGCGCCGCGCTCACGTATATCGCTGCCCAATGCATTATGTCCGCCTTCAAGCTTTCGTCCACGCGCTCTACTACCCGATCTGCAACCGTCTTCGGACTGTGTTAGTCCGTCTAGCCTCGTAGGAAGCTGCGCGCGCCACGGACCTTCAAGATGACCGTCGGCGGTATACAATGGCTCAAGAGCTCATAGAACTTGGCCCGAACGTCCATCACGCGTTGCGGGCTCTGCTCTTGTACGATCATGTCCGCGACCTTGTGGCAGTACGTCTCCCAATCTGGTTTTGCTATGGATAGCGGCCCTGACAAGTCGGGTCTAGGGTACGCGGTAGGGATTAGCAACGGCGGAGGCTGACGAACCGGCGCGTGGAAGAACGTACGACTGCATTTTCAGCGCCTCCAGTACCAGTAGAGCCTTGCGAAGGTTCCCATTCGCATCCCTAGCGATTTCGGCGGCTGCATCTGGCGGAAGATCAAACCCCTCTCCTTTAGCCACGTGTGCCAGTACGCGCATCATCTATCCGTAGACCTGCCGGTCAGCTCCGGCACGGGTATATCAGAGAAGACGGTATCTGACCTCTTCTTCACTGGGAGCGCCGACACGTACCAGTAAACATCGGGACTTGATAGGTGCAATGAGGCGTGACGTCGAGTTCGCACAGAGTATGATACGCATGTTTGACATGTACTTTTCCATGGTTCGACGTAGGGCAGCTTGGGCGTCCCGAGAAAGCGAGTCGGCTTCGTTGATGACGACGACTGGGATCCAAAGGCGTCAAGTGAGGTTCGAAGCTCGATAGTCACGAGAAGAAGAGGTGTTGCATGAGCAGAACTCACCCTTGAACCGTTGCCTCGCATTCAGGTCAACCTGTTGTGTCTGCGCAATCTCCTTTAACAGCTCTTGTATGACTACCCGATCATAATTGCCAACTTCGCTGTTCGAACCATGAGCCACATCCTCACAGGGGATCGATGTGATCCCACCTGGGCGTGATCTCGATGTGGAAGTTGCTCTGCACGACGTTCAGATCCAGTCGCCGCCTTGAAGGAGTCATAAAGACACGCTGGTCGATCTTGAGCTAGAAAACAGCCATGATCCTATCAACCTTGGCATTGGGAGACTAAGTGTGATCTGATGCCACCTTCTCCGCACCCGGACCATAAAGTTGTCTTAATGTCGCACTGATCCTTGTTTTCTTTCCCGCGCCCGAAGGACCATAGAAAAGCATATGAGGAAAGTCTCCAGATGAGGCCTAAGCGTATCCCAATGTAGTGAGACTACCAACGCCGGTCGTCCATGAAAAGCGCGACCTACCAGTGATTTGAGTCGCGCCGAGAGACCCTCATGGTAATGCAAGTTATCCAGAGCTTTCGGTCGGTACTAGGTCTGTTCAGCTGGAGTAGGGTATTCAAATATGCAGCGTAGGTCACCTTGTCGACCCAGAGAGACATCGTGTGATAAGGAATGCTACGACAAGAGGGGCTCGGGCTGAGTCGATGTCGCGGGACACGACGACGCGCGCGAGGTCACAGCAAACATGAACGTGACGGGACGTGAAGAAGCGCTTCTTAGTCAAGTACCTATCATATACTTTCTACACATTTTGTGCGCAAGGGCCATATAGTGTAGCGGTTTAGCACTCGGGATTTTGAGTATGATCGCTTGTTCCCGCAACCCAGGTTCGAACCCTGGTATGGCCTTTTTGACCCTCATCTGCCGCGAACAAGGAGTTCTTATACACCACTGCTATAGGTACACCATCTTCAGCTCTTTCACGTTACAACTACGCCGAGCCGCGGCCCTACAGACCAACATTTCTCCTGGAAAGTCCGATTAATAGGTGTTTTGACTTCAACACCTTCGAAACCCAATTGCCGAATATGAATCCCCACAGAATACCGAAATAAGAAGCGCCACCGTTCTGTTACACCACTCAGCCTTCTGATATACAGGGGAAAGCAACATCACCGACCTGTCCGTTGGTGATGACGATCATTTCGTAGCTACAGCACAAAAGATCAGTATCGCCTCACATACGGCTAGTCCGCTACGATGAAAAATTGACACTGCACCTTCCTTTGTACACCTTCATCGTCTTGACCTGACGCAAGTAACCGATGACATTGGCCGCACATACGGACACATGCGAATAGTACTTCCCGATCTGCTTCTGTTCGTTCCAATCCGTGCAGTCGCCAATGGCGAATATATCGGGGTAGTCGAGGGTCTGTAACGTGGGTCGAACACGAATCTGCCCCGTATCATTGAGCAGATTTGGGAGGCAGGACCGTATAAAATCGGTATTCGGCCGGCCTCCGCGGGTCGGAACCTGTAAGACAATATGTTGTCTATCTATCGGCACAAGACCAAAGTTTGACGGGACATACAATGAGCGCGTCATCGAACTGCATGCCGCGTCGTGTTGTGATAGACGCCGGACCAGGTAGTGGTATTTCCTCGACGAAGTCGTTGTAGAGTATCTCGACACCACGAGCAAGCAGTTGACGTTCGAGAAGGGCACGATATTTCGCAGGATAGGTATCGTTCAGGAGAGCTGAGTTCCCATGAACGATAGTAACCTTCTTGTGCTGCTTACGAGAATATCATGAACATCGATCTCCATGAGATTTTACAATGGGTAACGCTTGTGAACGACGTACGGGCCAGATGTCCTTTATTTCTCCAGCGAACTCTGGTGTATAGTTTTAGTCAAGATAGCTCAAAAGGGACGAAAAGGCGTACTGACCTATCCCAACAGCTCCGCCACCTGCCAGTACGATATGGGTCGACTCCGCGAAGTTTGTTCGCCATATTGAAAGATGTGATTCAACTCCTTCTGGATCGTTGGGATACGCAAGCGGCCCTTCCCATACAGACCCGGGGGCAAGAACGAGGACATCGTAACCGATGCTCTCTCCGCCCTCGAGCACGACGGCCCCGCCTACAGTGCTTGCGTTACGTTCAATAGCTTTTGCTGTAGCAATCCTGATTGTGCCCTTCCCGTTGTGAAACAATCGGTCATACCTGGCAACGAAATATATCATTTGATATCAGTGAAGGGAGCAGACTACGAACGGGAAGAGCGTTTTCTTCTCAAGACTCCCTTGATCGGATACGGTTGTGCGACACTGGCCTGGGAGGTAGACATTGAACGGCCGTGCGGTAACGAGCGTCAGAGATTGCTTCGTGATGTCTATCTTGGAGGAAAGCGAACGTGCAAGCAAGCTACCAGCCCCCCCTCCGCCAACGACAACTATCCGCTGTTTGTCGGTGGGCATGGTCTCTGTGATTGGATAGTCCCGAGTCTGCGTCGAGTGCAAACCGCTTTGCCCCTTGTGTCCAATCTAGCATGTTTTATAAGCGATTCATTTAGAGTTGGTCGCGCGTGCTCAACGCTAAATCAGGAACCGCGCCGCAAAGCATACGTGTGAACGCTAAGTAACGGTTGTAGTGCTTGGCCCCGGTAAAGACCTCGAAGGCACACATTCCTTCCGCGCGGAGATTGATCTTCAACTGAAGTGCAGAGCGGTGATTGTGTTCCGGCGGAACAACTAATGAGCTAGATTCAGCCGCCGGTGGAGCCGAGACGTAACGATCGGACACATTCTGAATGTCAAGAGACTGTTGCGCCTGCTTCCAAAGGAAATATGTTCGCATTGCACTGTTGACGTTCCGCCGATTTGATAGATTGGTGGCCATAAGGCAGGTTGCGATGGTGCGGCTGGTTACCTTCAAGTGTATGGCTGCATTCTCTTCTCCATTTGGGGCGATGTGGGTTGTATGCCAGCTAAATTCGTCCGATCATGGCATGGTCCTCAAAGATGTCTGGTCAATAGAGTCGAATGTAGAAGTACATATAGTGTTCCGCATTCATTGCCGCCCTGAATAGGTATAATCCGACGATTGCGCGATGGCCGGCAGCAGACGCCAGACGCGAGCGTCGTCGAACAAGAAAGTACAAAGGGCTTGTACAGCCCCGGAGAACACGTGGACTGTGGCGATGTACTGACGGACTGCCCTTGCCTCGGCTGCGCTTGCTCACCGATCTGTCTTGACCAGCCTTGTCTCTCTTCTCTTTCATCTGTCTCCGCTAGACTCATAGAACTGTACTAATACCACTCTGTCGATGTCGGGGGCCTATGCGGCGCTACTCAACCTCAGCGAGCAGTATACTGCCACAACCCAGTCCGCCGTTGAGATCGCCCTCGCCGAGCGTAAACGCAAAGAAGCTGCTAAACGGAAAGAACAAGAAGAACGAGAGAGGAAGGAAAGGGAGCAGGAGGCGAAGCTACGCTTGAAGAAGCTCGAGGCGGAGAAGCGGGAGCAAGAGCGGCGGCAGCGGCAGGAGGAGGAGGAACGGGCACGCGAGCGGGAAGCTAAACGTCGGGAGCAGGCGCAACTGGATCGCCTCTTGGGCAACAAGGTCAATAAACAGCGATCTGGCCACGGTCTGGATTACCCGACGTCGCGAGCGGCGGCTAGCCGCGAGAAAGTTGTTGACGACGATGGGCCCGTCGCACTGACCCGAGAGGAACTCCGAGAGCGGAAACTGCAGGCAAGCATGCGTCGGCAGTTTGGTGGCGCCGACCGACGCAGTGGAAGTTACGCATCGGGACATAGTGGAAAGTCCGGAAGACGCCTTGCTGGAGGCGCTATCGACATGGTGGCGAATGGCAGCGGTGGCACGTCCGCCAGCGCTGCACAAAGCATTCGAGCTAGACTTGCCGCCCAACCGAACACACTCACCAAACTCAACACGGTCAAGAGGGACACTCGGACTATCGACGAAATCGTCGCGGATCTCGCAAAGGCCAAGTCCGGGCAGGTCGTATCAGGCGAGGATGCGAAAGAGTTCAATGGGTGGTTCACGGAGACGAAGAAGAAAGAACTCCTGAGGAAGCCTCGATCCACCGCGTCTCCTGTGTCCGGCGCAAACTCGCCGGCACATCCATCATCGTCCAGTACGTTCATTGCAAAGATGTTTGCATAACAGAAAATAACGAAACCATGACAGAATCCAATCCTGCACCATCTTCCGTGGCGATGTCTTCCGCTACCAAGAAGCTATCGTCCATGAAACTTTCCAGTTCCGGTGCCAATAGCGGCGCTTCGAACTCCCTATCGAGGCCGTCCAGCAGTTCAAATCTGAAGGCGACACCATCACGCTCGGCGGGTATCGACCCACGAGGTGCCCAGTCATCCTTGGCTAAATCGCGACCTACGAGTACCATGTCCAAGCCCTCTCTGAAGTCTGGGCGCCCTGTCGCACCCACTTCTTCCTCACGGATGAAGCGTGGGCGTTCGGGATCTTATTCGTCGGATTCTCGGTCGCCATCCCCGCCTCCCGCGAAGAAACGTCGTGACAAAGAAAGGGGTCGTGCCGATTACGACGATGAGGGAGACGGCATGGATATCAGCACCGAAATTTGGAAGCTGTTTGGCAAGGATAAGCGACGTTACGTCGAACGGGATGTGCTCAGCGACGATTCCGACATGGAGGTAGACACGCGGACCCTCGAGAGAGAGGAAAAGATCAGTATGCGCATCGCCAAGAAGGAAGAAGAGGCAGCTCTTGAGGAAGAGCGTAGGCACGAGGAGGAGAAACGTCGTCGCAAGAAGGAGAAGGATATGAGGGAAAGGAGGGGATAAGTACAACGGCTTGGCAGCTTCCTCTCGGACGATGGATCAGTGGAATTCTGTCGTTACACATAATTAGCTCTATGTACATCATGTTCTTTTCGTCTTGTGACCTACGCATCTGATACAATCCGGCCAATATCTTCTTCACGTACTTACATCGACTATCTGCCACGGATCATCTGTTACTCGTCTACATGGAATATATGGTTATTGTGCATCAATAAAGCAACACCGCAATGATATGAAAAGCAGCCAGACGTCCTACTTAGTATGTGCAGACATCATACAAATCTTGTCGGATATCCACCTCATCCGCTCTCGTCCACGCGGAAACGTTTCCGCGGTCCTTCCTGACCGAAGTTTCCACCGCCGCCCTGCCCACCTTGTACGAATGCTGGGTTGAAATGGCCTTGCTGCATACTCCCGAACCCGCCGCGACCGCTCATGGGCATCATTCCCATTCCACCACCACCTACAAATACAACGAAAACGGGGTCTCAACATCAGAACCAGCGCACAGAGCGAACCGTAGACGAAAAGGCCGCTACATGTTGGAGCCGTACATACCCATACCGTTCATCATGCCGCCGCCGCCGCGCCCGCCAAACCCGCCGCCCATCAGGTTGCCCCTCGGGGCTTGCGGGACCATGCCCCGGCCGCCCATGTTCATGCCCATACCCATATTGCCCATGGCCATGCCGTTCATGCCCATCATGCCCATTCCCATGGGGTTCATGCCGTTCATCATACCACCGCGCATCAGGCCCATGTTACCTCCCATCATGCCACCGCGCATGGGCAATTGGCCACCCATGTTCCCGCCCATGTTGTTGTTGTGTCCGCCACGGAAGCCACCGCGACCGCGGCCACCGCCTTCGCCGCCACTGGTAGGTATAGGCTGGTTTGCGTGCGCACGGCCCTCGCGTGAAGGGGGCTCTGTCAAAACAAAGGCGTCAGCAAGACATCGCGTCCCTGCCCATGTGCACGATCCTACCTTTGGGGAGCGTACGGAACGGATTGCCCTGCGCGGAGTTGGTGGGGGTCGCCGTTGCGCGGCGATTTTGGAAGTCACTGCACATGGTCAGACATCGATGGGCCAGCTATCTCGAACGAAGCTACGCACTTGTTGTCGAACCATTCTTTCAACGCTGCCGCGTTTTCGGGTGATCCACATTCGATATATGCGATGCTACGTGTTGCTCAATCGCTGACGATTTCCGCGAAGGAGGTGAGTACGTACCCCTTACTCTTCCCGTTCACCTTGTGCTCCGAGAACGTGATATCCTTGTGATCAATCGTGACGCCGACGTTTAACGCGACTTGTCGAAGGTCTTCGTCGGTCGTCCACTGCGATGCGTCATCCAAAAGTACGGATAAGTACAAGGCAGGATTACACTCGAGAACGACATCAGAATTACGGACCCATTGCAGATCGCCAATGTACAAAGCATCGTATCCAGACATAGCGTTCACAGCACCCATGCCTCCCGACATGTTCATCATCTGGCCCCCATTATAGTTGCCATTCGCGCCCGCATTGGGGGTGGGCGATTGTCCCGTCTTCGGATTTTGAGGCAGCGCGTGTTGCTGAGGCTGCTGCTGCCTCTGTTCCTCCGGGTCTTCCTCTCGAGGTCGTTTGTCGCCAACGGAGGGTTCCGGGTTGAAGTCGCCCTTCTGTATGGACTTCGGTTCCTCTTGCTGCTGCTGCTGTATTCCAGAACAACTGTCACTGGGTTTGTTCGTCCTTACAGGTGGCTCACGACTCACCTCAACGGGCATAGGTCCAGAGCCCACGAAGGCTTCGTCATCGCCGTAGAGATCGGTGAAATCTTCCTCAGTGCTATTTTCCATCGCTCACAATGTCGTTCGTCGACAGGAGAGTTCGTTTAAAGGATCTCTGTTTCGGGGGCGCGAGTGACAGGAACTGCGAGTATCGACGGACAACAGAGCGAGCGATACAGCAGAGCGTATACAGCACCCAAGGTAATGCAGCCTCGTCAGATACATGCATATGGAGAGGATTTTCCTGGAGGACAACGAGAGGCAGCATGGACATGGACGAGACTCTTACATGATAAATTAATACAGGGAGAAGGCCACCGTCGGTTGCTCGTTCCAGCGCTCTCTCCGAAAGATGTTCCCAGACAAAGCCGATGCAGAAAAGGCGCAGAGTGAAGACGTGAGGAGGTCAAAGTCGTGGGTCGGAGACAAGGATCTGGCGCGTAAGGCGGCGCGTCACCTCACGCAACTTTGCTTACCTCTATTTGTTTTCGGTGGCACCAAGGTGCCCCCGCGGCGAAGACGATACCCGGACACACTTGTTTGTCTCTTTCGAGTCAAGCTGGTACTATGTAGTAGGTTGATTCATCGACGTAAGTCGCTATACTACCGACAGATGATTGTACAGAATAATGTTGATGAGTATACATATGTGCTCCATAACACGACCATATATAAGCAGTCCCTGAGACATTGCAGCTTTAGATCCGATGCGTGGTTGAAACCAATTCGTCTGCGGCGTGGAGCCAGGGAAAGAAGTGAAATGAAACAAGGGCGACCACGGAATGCGGGGGGCCCCCGACCCCACCGAACGGTGGCAGGCGGGTCGGTCGAGGTCCAGGTTCCCTCGGAGCGCGTTCATGAGTCGATCAACTCCCAATCCTCCTCCGGCTGGCCGACCGGTGTCCGAGAGTCCTTCGTCGGTGCGTCGTGGCCCTCGGACCCTTCCCGCGCGGCGACGAGTGCTTCGAGCTCCCTTGTCGCGCTCATCATCGAGATCGCCACCCTGGCGCCCATCATGAGGATCTTCTGGCCCTCCGGCGAACATCGCATCCGCGCGACGATCGCGCGCCGGTGCAAATCCGCCTCCGAGTCGGGCTTGGAGCGCGGGAAGACAGGGCGCGCAGGGAGCAGCTTCTGGACGGGGGAGAGCGGGGAGGAGGTCCTGTGCCGGAAGGAGCTGTAGAAGAGCGGTGGGCGCGGCTTAGGTTTGAAGGTGATCACGGAACTTGGGCCCAGTTCGTCGAATAGTGCAGCGAGGGACGCGGATGAAAGGGAGAGCATCTCCTCGGTCTTGAAATCCTGGACGTAGCGTCTTGCACGGGCCTCCTTGTACGCCCGCAGAGAACGCGCGGAGGAGGATTCGGCGCGGGTGGCGGGGATGGAGGGGAAGGCGAATTCGGGGTCCGAGTTATCATCGAACGCGTCCGAAAGCTCGATGAAGGACACCGTCCGTTGGAGGGTGCGAGCCGACTTGGCCGGTTTGGGCATCGAGAACGAGTGGGTACGTTTCCGAGCGGAGTGGAACGGATCGAACGACGCGGGCGGGGGCGGCAGGACAGCAACGCACGACATGTAGCTGAAGGTAGTGTGCTCGGCTGTCGCAGGGAGGGGGTTTATATCCAAGGCCGTGTCTGGGGACAAAAGGAGAACCGGGACTGGCTGCCTGCTTAAGAACAGGCGTGCACGTGACATGTGGCAGGTGGCTATCGCCGGGCGCCACTAGATCCGAGTGGAACATCTGCGTCCGGAGGAGTCACCTCTGTAGGGGACAATCGCTTAAACCGGCATCCTATTCCCGGGTGAATCCAAACCTGGCCTATGCTGACGCTGCGAGATGCAGGATTGCGGCAGCACCGCATCTCGGAGAACGCGACGGAAACAGACTCTGATAGATGGATCGTTGATGCCGGCAGGGCACAAGCTAAAGATGATCAACGGGATCGCACGCGGAGAGCGCGGAAGCAAACGTCCAAAGCCCATACATGGTTGCCGGAGATAGTTCCCAGCGCCCACCGGCATATCGCAACATGTATACCAACCGGAGAGTTGCGAAAAACGCTGTGCTGACCGCGTTGGCCCTGCCGTGTGGGAGCTGCGTTTCATATTGTCAGCATCCGCACAAATGCCACGCAAGCCACGCGAAGGCTCTCAGATGGCCACGAAATGCCGAGAGCACGGCGGGAAGTTATGACGCCAAGGGTGCGCATATGGAATACGCGAAACCGATATGAAACGTACATTGACAGCAGTATCATCTGGGAGTCGAGAGCGAAGAACTTCGATGTAATGAAACATGGCAGTTATGGGGCAGTATATTGGCCCACAGCCCCGATCCAGTATGTACTTGGTTGTGCCGATCCACAGCAGCTCATATGGGTCGAATCCGGTATCTGCCTCATTTCAGTTTGCTCTTCCCTTCAACTCGATGAGACTGCCGCGCGCTACGACTTCTCCCTTGAGCGAAGATGCGATACAGGATATCTGATGGTATAGCAGTGTTCACCGGCGCAGACGGCTGGTGAGATACCGGTTCATGATGATATCCGATTGAGGATAAGTAGATAGTGGCGTAGTTAGATGGTGAACTTACAGCGAAAGCCAATCATTAATGCATCATGGAGCATGTATTCACTTGCGTATCTTCCGATACCCGTTTGGATCATAACTTGGGGGGTTTCATCGCGCGGCTTGAATGTGGAGCCAGCGCGCACGGCGAAGTTTGCCCCTGTCGAGTCAAATGCAGAGTTAAGGTTGTACGTGGGTTATACAAACGCTGTTGGTAGCTCGGGCGCCCGGGATAGCATCTAATGCAGGAGTAACGGGGGTGCTGTGCAGTGTTTTGAGGACCCAGAGGTAGGTCTATAGTATACCAAACTTTGTACCGCTGCATAGCTGTCGAGACTATCGGGGAGTTGCTGTCATATTTGTCACCAGAAGTTGACATTCACCCTAGGCCGTCCCGATAATAGATTGAAGACAGTTTCCGCGTTCTAGCCAGCAAAGCAAAAGATAGAATGAGATCAGGGCGCCCATGTTGCACAAGGCAGTGCCTTGATTCAATGATAGCCATGTTATCTCTCATGTTAACGCTGGCTCGTCTGATGGTCGAGTCTCTAGTTCGCTATCTCTCAACTCAGGATAGGACTTGCAGTACAGCCAGTGGCTGTCTGACCTAGCGCTATGCATATCCTACCCCGAGATGAGGCCAAACTGCTTTTGCATCAGGTGGTTGCTGCTTCAACTTGATCCACGGACCAATTGACTCATGCCGCGCTCCAATGATGATATCCCACACAGGCCGGGTTCCTCGCTCAGAAACGTCTCGCGCGAGGACTCAAGCTCAATCAAACCGAAGCCACGGCATTGATCGCGTCAGTGTTACAGGAGAGAATCCGGGATGCCAGGCATTCAGTTGCGGAGCTGATGCAACATGGGAAGACGCTCCTTGGCCGAAGGCACGTCCTCCCTGACGTTGTCAGCCTCCTACATGAGATACAAGTCGAGGGGACGTTTCCTGATGGGTGCGTGCTTCAGACTCTGGCGTTGTTCAAGGCCTAATATCTTCGTCGGACAGCGTGTTCCTGGTGACGGTGCACGATCCTGTCTGCACGGAATCTGGAGACATCGCAGCCGCTCTCTACGGATCTTTCCTCCCCGTGCCACCTGAAGACGCGTTCCCGTCCACCGACCCCGCGGACTTCGCACGGGAGAAAGTCGCCGGCGCCATCATCGCGCGCAAGGAAAGCATCGTGATAAACAAAGGGAGGGAACGCATCAGGCTGCGCGTCACCAATAACGGGGACAGACCCATCCAGGTGCGTAGCATTGCCATATTTCCACTATCCCGCTGCGGTCTGCGGTACGAGTCTCATCATTCCTCGAAACCAGATTGGCTCGCACTACCACTTCGTTGAGACGAACAAGGCGCTGTCCTTTGACCGCGGCAAAGCCTACGGCAAGCGCCTGGATATTGCCGCTGGCACCGCAGTGCGCTTCGAACCGGGAGATGTCAAGACGGTCACGCTATGCACCATAGCCGGGGCGAAGATTATCTCGGGTGGAAACAACCTCGCGTCGGGCGTGTTCGATCTCGCACGCACCGACGACATAATCCGGGGTTTAGTCCAAAAGGGCTTCGGGTATGCTCCTGAACCCGGGGCGCTCGAGGTGTCGGAAGATACGTCCATCGGTCGGGATGCATATATCGCTATGTTTGGGCCTACTGTGGGCGACAGGGTACGTCTTGGCGACACAGCGTTGTGGATTGAGGTGGAGAGGGACGAGGTCGGTTGTTGGCTTGTCTTAAACATCACGGGTGCTCAAGCCTATCCGATAGACGGTATACGGCGACGAAGTGAAGTTCGGCGGAGGTCAGTGCATCTACGCGGGCTCGACACAATACCCGTCTCACACCTTCCAGGCAAATCCATACGGGAAGGGATGGGACAAGCGACCAATCGATCGTCGTCCGAGACCCTAGACCTTGTGATCACAAACGCGCTTATTGTCGACTGGTCGGGTATCTACAAGGTCTGTCCTCCCCTTTCCATCGGTTATCTCCCTGGCCTTACCGTTGCGGGTATAGGCGGACGTCGGTGTCAAGAACGGTTATATCGCCGGAATTGGCAAGGCGGGCAACCCAGACGTCATGGCAGGCGTGCACCCGTCCCTCGTCATCGGCTCGTCCACGGAGGTCATCGCTGGGGAAAAAATGATCCTCACAGCGGGCGCTATCGATGCCCACGTTCATTACATATGTCCCCAACAGGTTAACGAAGCGCTCGCTGCGGGGACGACAACCATGATCGGTGGCGGTACCGGGCCTAGTGCGGGGACGAATGCCACAACGTGCACTCCTTCTCCCTTCTATATGCGTCACATGTTGGCAGCTACGGATGGTCTTCCGATGAACTTCGGCTTCACCGGGAAAGGCAACGATGCGGGGACGACGGCGGTGGAAGAGATCGTGAAAGCGGGAGCTTGCGGGTTGAAGCTCCACGAGGATTGGGGCACTACTCCAGCCGTTATTGTCAAGGCGCTGGACGTCGGTGACAAGTACGACGTGCAGGTAAGCGCAACCTAAACCTTCATAAAGAGAAGTACTCACGTTCATATCTTCCCAGGTCAACATTCACACAGACACCTTGAACGAGAGTGGTTTCGTTGAAAGTGAGTTCGGGGAATCATAGTATGGCTGGATTGTATCTGATGGGGCAGTCTGAAGGCACCATTGCCGCCTTCGGAGGTCGTACAATTCATACATACCACACAGAAGGTGCAGGTAAGTGGGCTAGGCATTGGCATTGTTGATACGAATCTGAACGGTCTTCGTACAGGTGGTGGACATGCGCCAGACATCATCGTCGTCTGTGGTCAGAACAATGTACTGCCTTCTTCAACCAACCCGACTCGTCCCTTCACGAAGAATACACTTGACGAGCATCTGGATGTCAGTCCGTCTCATTTTGTCACACCGAGAGTGCTCATCTGAGCCCGTGGGTAGATGCTCATGGTCTGCCACCACCTCGACAAGTCTATCCCCGAAGATCTTGCGTTCGCCGAATCGCGAATCCGAGCCGAGACAGTCGCTGCGGAAGATGTGTTGCATGATACCGGCGCCATCTCCATGATCAGTTCGGACTCGCAGGCCATGGGCCGCGTAGGAGAAGTTGTCAGTCGTACATGGAGGACGGCCAGTAAAATGCGCGAATTCAGGGGGCCGCTCTCGGCTCTTGGTGACAGCGAAGGCGTGGACAATGGGAGGGTCAAGCGTTACATTTCAAAATACACCATCAATCCGTTGGTGCCGTTCTTACGGGATCAGGGTTTTGGTTGATCATAGTTTACAGTGCTATCACACATGGCATGAGCCACCTGGTTGGTCAGGTTGCTACAGGTACACTGGCAGACCTCGTTCTTTGGAAGCCAGAGAACTTCGGCTCCAAGCCCTCTATGGTACTGAAGTCTGGCGTAATCGCCTGGTCGCAGGTATGTCTCCTCTAGTTGGCAGAATTTCGACCATTGACGTCTATGTCGCAGATGGGTGACGCGAACGCATCCATCCCTACCGTGCAGCCGTTCTACTCCAAACCTATGTGGGGCTCTTACCCGGCTTCAGCGGCGCTCAACTCTATCTCGTTCGTGTCTGAAATATCCATTTCGTCTGGCACCGTGGCGTCCTATAAACTATCAAAACGGTTCGAACCTGTTACGGGGTGTCGAGCGGTCACGAAGAAGGACATGAAGTGGAACGACGCCACGCCCGAAATGAAGGTGGACCCGGAGAACTATGAGGTGCATGCAGACGGCGTGCTCGCGGATATCGAGCCCGCAGAGCGGCTTCCCCTTGGTAAAGCATACAACCTGTTTTAGTACGTCCTGTAAGGTCATGCAGAGCAATCCAATGTACTATTATCGGCGTGGTCTTCTGGCGAGCCCCAGTGGCAGTTGAGATGCAATGGCCATTCCGCAGAGATTCACAAGAAGCACGCAGCACGCAGCACGCTGATCGATCTCCTGTTCTAGACGTCCCGACCACGCTCGGGATTACCAGTCCATAAGAACTTACAGACAACAACGTTCAGCGTTGGGTTGATGACGTCTCCGTGTAACCGAAGCGGACAGGTACCCAATTATCGAGCAATTGAAGACATGCTGTCTATGGTGGCGGGCGGGAATTTTTGCGGGATTGTCTGTGCCGAAAGAGCAATAGAGCGGGAGCATCGCAAACCATGTGTTATGTGTTTCCCACAATGCCGCTGGCGGAAAAGTTTGTGTTCTGAAGTCTGTACGAAAGTGCGGGGAACCGGGCTCGCTTGGCTGTATTCGCTGAGGCCTGGGGCCTGATCCTTCGGATACGTACGTATTCCTCCGCTGTGCAATGATGGCGAAGGATGGTGCAATGATTACGGAGCAGGGCGGGCCGCTGAATTCAGGAGTGCCCGAGCTCAGACAGTCACTGTTTGGGATACAATGATAATCCAAACGTCGGGGCATCAAGGCCGACCACAATAACTTGTCTACGAGTGTGTAGGCTTTGAGCCGCACCGCGATTTGAGGAAGATCATTGTATACGTACCTATCAGTTGCGAGATGTACCGCGAAGAACCGTCACGGTGTCGGTTCCTGTTCGCGCAGTACGCATGTGACTGCAATCTGCACGAAGCAGTGGTTGGATCCCGCTGCCATCATATTCGCTTGCGTTTTCTTGCGGGGCCGCTCGCGGTATGTGTGCTCGACACGCAGCCTTCAGACAGGCCACTGCCATCACAGCACGTCCAACTGAAATTCTCCGGGTAGTCTCTCCTATTTTCAGGCGTGTCCATTGGCCCATGGCAGTCTTCGTCCCAGTCAACGAATTCCTCCTCCCTGACTTCCAGTACACCTAAGGCTTACGTCAATGTTTGATCTCCCCGTATTCTTCGGTAAAACATACCCGGATGGAACTGGCATGATCCTTCTACCTGTGTTGCGCTGACATCGAAATCGTCGCCACATTTACGGCATATTTCCCATCTTTGCACGAGCTCTCCGTGTTGAACCGTCACTAACTCTTTGAAGAGAGCGTGTCCGACTGATGGCATGTCCTCGATAAGATCGAGCACTATTTCTCGAAGCGTCTTTTCCGGAACGGAAACCACAGCTTCCCTGAGCCTTTCTAGCGAGGGCGCGTCGAGTGGCTCCTCTTCGTCAACCTCTACTCCGTCTGAATGGCGTTCGTCGTGTGATTCCGAGAACTCTGTCTGACACACAAACCGCCTCGCTAGCGTAGAACAGCGATTGCTACAGTCGGATAACCTGTCAGCGCAGTTCATTTCGAGTATATGGAGGGAGCCTTACTGTAAGGCCGGCATAGTATCCAGTTCGCTTCTCATCCCCGCCAGTCACGCCAGTTCTCCGAACTAGCTGGTTGACGAAAGGATATATGACGGTGCACGTCAGGGGCTCGGCGAGCTAGGGACTTTAGCGTAAGTATCATTCTCACAAGAGCGGAAAGGAAGATACCTGTAAATACAAAAAGATGGCGAGTTGAATTTTCGGGAAAGGGGTCAGTCTTGGTCGAGGGCTGTCCAGTGCCACCGCCGCGACATTCGGGGATCGATCCTCGGCCTGTTCACGGGTAGTTTCAGCCAAAGGCAGAGTAGATTGGGACATGGATGGGAGGCTTACTATCCAATTGCGTGTCGCTGGGCTCCGGATTTTATACGCTCATCAGCTGAAACCACCACCACCATGGAAAGTTGAGGTGCTCAACCCTGATGCGCATGCAACCCAGACTTTATCGAGCATAGGCGTAATCGATCGGCACACGGAGGGCCCATGAAGGGAGCGTAAAAATCGCGAATGCAGTTAAGCGCGTTACGACATATGGCGGAGAATTCATGCTTGTCCACTTCCAGCCGCGGCACACGTTGGTGCGGAGACCGCGGCAAGATATTCCAACGGGTGAGGAGCGAGCGGCCTAGAACAACGCGCAGGGTTCCGTGGATGCATTAGTGGATTAGTGAGGAAGTCCCGAGTTGTGCCGTTTCCCGAGATGGCAAGACGAGGACAGTTGGCAAGACGAGGCACGCCGGGTCACCGTGGGAGAACCGATTAATCGTGTAATACGAGCTTGATTTCAGACTCCGATGCAGATTGCGCCAACTCTGGTTGCAAGAGCGCGCTCGAGAGTTGCTTTGTGACCCAATCTTCGGAACACTACTTCATTTTGGCGTTCTCACATAATGGCAGACATTATTGACCTCACCAATCTGCCCTCTTCCTCGGAGCGCGGCGATGACTCCTTCAGTGGGGAAAACTCTCCGACAGAATCGGTCGGCGACCGGTGATCCTGACCGGCTTGTTTGGGTTGACCCTGGCTATGGTCGGGTTTGGCCTGTCTAAAACGTACTGGGAGATTATCCTCAGCCGTATCGCTCAAGGCATGCTCAACGGGAACATTGGCGTTGTCAAGTGTGTGACAGCCGAAATGACCGATGAAACCAACGCTGCGCTCGGATACGCCTTCTTCGGCACGATATGGTCCCTCGGCACGACGCTCGGACCTATCATTGGCGGGGTTCTCGCCGACCCTGCTCAACGATGGCCGGACACACTAGGGCGTAGTCGGCTGTTGACGGATTATCCCTATTTCCTGCCTTGCATCACCGTTGCCTCAGTTTCCATGAGCGCCTTTCTATTTGCCTTCCTTGGTCTTCGTGAGGTGCGTTATCAGGGTTTCTCGCGGCGTAGTAGTATGATGACGTTGTATTTCAGACTCTCCGACGATCGCACAGTGCAGGATCTTCACCCGCGGAACCTGTGACTCAGGGCGACGAAAAGGCCGCAACACCTATAACGGACCTGCCCGAGTTGCCGTCCCAAGTACAGACAGCTCAAACTTTGTCTTCGTCTGAAGCAGTCATTCCGTCCCCGCAAGTTCCTGGGTTCCGCTCGTTGTTTGTACCGAGGGTCCTTTACCCGCTTCTCAACTATGGGTTCATTGCATTTGTCGACCAGTGCTATGAGGTGCTCCAGCCACTCATGTACTCCACATCCATTGGCGCACAAGGATTGGGGTTTAGCACGTTCACCATCGGAATCATTATCGGCGTGTGGGGCGTCGTGAACTGCATCGTGGAGATATTCGTCTTTCCGCCCCTGGTTCGGAAGGTTGGGCCCCGAACGCTGTACATCGCATCCTTCGCCTGCTACCTCGTATGTCTCTCGGCCTTCCCCTTGATGGCGTTCCTGGCGCAGCGGGCAGGTCATATTGACAAGTGGACATGGCTCGTGCTGGTGATTCAGCTCGCGGTATACACGGTTGCATACATGGGTTATGGTAAGTTTTCCGACACCCCGCATCCCGCTAGAAGCGCCCAATTCTCATGTCTCTCAACTCAGGATGCGTCTTCCTCTTCGTCAACACGGGAGCGCCTCGCGGCGCGCTCGGCGCGGCCAACGGCCTCGCGCAGACGACCGCATCTACCATGCGCGCGATCGCGCCAACCGCTGCTTCCTCGCTATTTGCTGCATCCATCGAAAAGAACCTTCTGCGCGGGACACTGGTCTATTGGGTTTTGTGCGCGGTAGTGCTTGCCGGCATATACACCTCAACCATGCTGCCGAAGCGCCTGTATACCTAGGATTAGCGTGCTCCATCGCCGATCTGGGACCGCGACCCCCCAACTTGGATCCGGACCGTACCAAGTTCCATTCCTCGCGAACGTCGCGGATCAACCAAAACAAGTATCATCCCTTCAGATTTCTCTTCGCTTGGATCTGCCTCATCTCTTGCCCAGTTTGCTGGTATCATTTCTCTCGTATCTTTGGCTTATCTGGTCTTACCGTACTGCGCTATGATGTGCTGTGTATATTCTCAAGGATCGATGTATAACAGGGTGTCCAAATGCCTAACGTGCTCATGCCCTGCTGTCTTATGAGGAGTCTCTGATGGATTGCTGCTGGCTCGCCTTCCCATTCCCAGGTACGTCATTGGACTGGAGATGCTTCACGATTTCGCGTTGCTAAACCAGGATGTATCTGGTTCCTGGATCAATGGATTTGTGGATATCCTTGGGCAATCTTCGGAGGATAAGGCACTCGTTTGTGCATTCGCTCACGCTTCGATAGATCTTCCCATGTCTAAGGCAGTCTCCAGTCCTGTGTAAGCTTCTGTCTAGATCACACGTTGCACATGGTACCCAACCTAGACGCGCCGATGTGTCTCCACTCATCTCACTCATTGAAACCTCGTTCTCATACTCGCAACGACGCCCATCTCCGGCGCGCTCATCGACGCTCTCGTCGGCTCTGAGGCGGGCGAGGCTGTCTAATCCAGCCCTTGACATACTGAAACGCGCCCTATCGCATGGTACCGCAATCGGCCAGAACGATGCCCCGACGAGCATGTTCCCAAGTCTTGGGGATAGCGTGGTCTTCGGCATGCACGGTGGACGCCAGCTTCAAGGCAAGAAGGCCAGCATACAGGATCAGCGCTCTATAAAACACGCATCGAAGGGCTCTTGAACGCCAGCAAGCAGAGTCACAGCGCACCCCTCACACTGCCTATTCCAAAGCCCTCTGGACGAGTCATGCAGCTTTCCTTGGCCCCCGTTCTCGTCATCTTTTCTGCCGCCGCTGCAGCCTCTGCGCTGCCAGCGCCTGACGCTCAGTGTGCAAGCTGTCCGAAAGCTATCGCAAACCCTGCGGTGAACGTCACTGCTGGCGCTCCCAGCGACTATTACCTTGTGGCCGCCAGCGGAGGTACCCCCGGCACTCCTTCGTTTTGCGGGTATGCGCTCAGCTTTGGCATTCTCGCTTGAGAGAGTCTCACTGACACCGTGTCATGTGTAGATACAACAGCAACGCATCCGTCAATCCTGTAACATGGCAGTTCTTCTGCTTCTACGAGGTTGGTTTTGCCTGCCGCACGATTGTTCCTGCTGGTTGGGTTATGTGTTGATATGTGCCACTCAGGGAGCAGGGTCTGTCAGTGCGAATCCTTCTGGTCTGTGCCCTTCGACAGCTTCGACCGTCAATTGCGCCAGCCTGTGAACTCAAGAAAATGAGTCGGCACGTCCTTGCAAATGCCCTCTTCGATGTTAGGCCCATCATTGCACTCCTTCGATTGCATCTCGCGCGTTCTTCGCTTCCATCAGTTGTTATCTCGGACTCGAACCTAGACTTTCACCATCTCTCCTTGATAGGCTAAATTAGAACATAGATGGACACGATCTTGAACTTTACTGTCGTACATACGAGAGCCTTTCCAGACCGCACCGCATTACAGCCTTTCACATGTTCCGCCATGAAACGCATAAAACACTGCCTGGAACGATACTTACTGATCCAATTTCAATTTGAGGGACAGTCTATACACCGCCTGTCTCAGAAGAGTTCCCAAGGTTCCATGACATATCCTTCTGCTAAGCCGTCCAGGAGACCGAGTGCAATGTCGCTATTTAGGGCATTGACATAGTCCGTAGGGGCGTCACACTTCATGGCTCTGTCGAAGTCGATGAGACGCCAATCGTACGTGCGGCCCGTATACGGTGAAGACAGACTCGGCGAGTGAGATGGGGCGCGACGTATATGGTTGTGTCTTATGTCGCCGTGCACGATCCTGACATAGTCGAGCTCATCGATCAACGACAATATCTCCTGACTTAGTAAGATGAAATCAGCAGCAAGTCTGAATTGTGATCATCGCAGCGTACCGTAGATCTATGGTCATTGCGGGGCCAAGTGGCAACTTCTCTTCGCCGAGGTCTTCAAGAAGGAGGATAGAAAGCTGTCTTCCCTTTCCGCGCGGGATGGGGCGCTTGTTCTTGTTCTCGGGCGAAAAAATGATCGAAGTTTCGTTCGATGGCTTGTCCGAGCACTTGCTCCCCGACCCGTGAGAGGAGTGAGGAGATTGATGCGCAGTCCATGGAATCGGTGTGACGGGCTCTGGTAGCGGTGCCTCGAAAAAGCCGTAACAGCGAGCAACTACAGACCCCTGGCAATGTCTCATATCATCGTAAAACCACGCTTCCCGGGCGAGAGTGTCCGAAAAGCCCTCTCCTGCGATCTTCACTACGAGCGGTGGAACTCGCATGTCAACAACCGATCCATCCAGTGATAGGGCACGTGCGGATTCAAGCCGATAGGCGACACCGACGCGGCCGCTAGAAATCTCAGCGCCAAGAATCACCTCCAAGGTGATAGGATCTGCTGGATGTGGCGACAGCGGGTGAGGTGGGACGTCGTCGGGCGGGGTGCAGGAAAAGGTAAGCCTCGGCACATAGTCTTCAGGTACACTTTCACGAGAGAGGCGTACTGGTGGATGGACACCGCCGTCGAGCAGACCCTGGATGATGTTGAGCTGGACCACGGAAGCGGTGTCCTGCGGTAGAAGCGTCTGAGTAGATTGCAAAGACGTGAATTCGATTGTTTACCAAGCTTTTGCTAAGCATTGGGGCTTAGTGTAGCTGATTGTGGTTTGTCTTGTGCGACGCAATCGCCGATTGTGCCCTAGAAGACGTTCCAGCGAACAAATGTGCAGTTAGCTCTATATTATATAATAACTCTCATGCGTGGATTTCTCACGCGTGACTCTCACTTTTTCGATTTTAAAGGTAATTTAGGCCCCGTTCGGCGACGCCTGATTCTGGAAAAATCAGATGATTTGACTCTGCTCGCATACCATAATCGGTAAGACTGTGAGACAAACTTAACATAATAGAACAGGGGCTTGCCATACGAGGAGGACAAAAGTCAAGCAAAGTCAAATCAGGCGCCTGATTCTCACAGAATCAACCCCAACCGAACGGGGCCTTACTGAGCTTCGATGATGTGATTTACCCAAGTAGATTACCTCTGCTCAACCACTAACGCTCGATCTATATCATCTTCTGCCGAATGATTTGCGTAGGCCAACAAGGACAAATCGTGAGTGCACGGCAAGGACGTCCGAGGAGGAGTGGTGCGATTACATCTTATCTGATAGGTAAGCGCATCGCTGCAGTTGCCAGCTTGACTCAGTCTTAGACTCTCGTCGCGGACGATGGCGCCACGGACCGGCGTGCGTCGGCCAACCCACACAACTTAGCAATATACTTAAACCACCTCAGAGCTGCCCTTCCCTCGCTATGTCTCCTGAGGCAAGATAGGCATACTAGCTTTGCCGCAGGCTTCGAAGAAGAGTTTTCCAGGCCTATCATTTTACCCGACACGGACCGATCGACCATTTTCGACTCGATTGATATGCTCTGAGCATCTTACTCGCACACAACTTGCGGGTTCTGCGCGACTCTCTCTACGACCATGACTTCGAGCTACGAGGAGGACGGGACGACGACCCCGGCGTCTGAGGAGACCGCTCTGTTGTCGCCGCGGAATGGGAAGCAGAAGAGGAGGCCTACGCCGCTGCCCAAGGTGCAGATGAGCATCATCCTGCTGGCGCAACTGGCAGAGCCGATCATGAGCCAGTGCATATATCCTTTCATCAACGACGTGAGTATATGCGCCCTGTTCGAGGAGGCCCGCCTGACATCGTCGTAGCTTGTGCGTACCCTGGACATCACGGGAGGCGATGAGAGTAAGGTCGGGTATTATGCGGGGTTGATCGTACGTCCTTCTTCTCCGCCGTATGCTCGTTTCTGAAGCTTCGTTCAGCAATCGCTCTTCTTCGCTACGGAGGCTCTCACCGTCTTGCAATGGAGTCGCCTATCCGATCGCATAGGACGCAAGCCCGTACTCCTCATCGGCTTGTCCGGTTTATTCTTCTCCATGATCTTCTTCGGCCTATCACGAACATACTGGACCCTGGTTTTAAGGTACGCTAGGATGTATGCGCGCTGGATGCAGAGGTAGACCAAACGCTTACAGTCGCTGCCTCAACGGGCTGCTCAACGGTAATATCGGGGTCATGAAGAGCATGATCGGGGAAATAAGCGATTCCAGCAACATCGCCCAAGCGTTCGCTCTCATGCCCGTAACATGGGCAGCCGGCGTATCCATAGGGTGAGCGCGTTTGCCTGCCAAAGATCGTACATGCAATGAACTGTTGCACCAGACCGATGATTGGCGGCTCGCTCTCGCGGCCTCACGATACATGGCCCCACGTATTCTCGCATCCGTTCTGGCAGCAGTATCCCTACTTCTTGCCGTGCTTTGTCTCGGCCGTGTTCTCCGCGTTTGTCTTCGTCATCGTTCTCCTCTTCCTCAAGGAGGTACGCACTCTCCTACAGCCACCCAAGCGATCGCTGACCTTTCTCCCAGACGGTACAAAAGGAACATCGCCCCGAACCCTCAAAACCCTCCGACTACACCGACCTCGAGCGCGACCTCTCCGCCGAAGGCGCCGTCGCCTTCCACGAGGGCGAACCCGCCCTGCCTCCACACCCGCACCCCTCCCCGACCGACGCAGACGCCTCCCTCCGCGCTCTGCTCACCCGCCCCGTCGTCGTCAGCGTGCTCAACTACGGCCTGCTCGCGACGCTCGACATCGCGTACTGCGCCCTCCAGCCGCTCTTCCTCTCCACGCCCGTCTCCGCCGGCGGCCTCGGCTTCTCCCCCCGCGCGATCGGGCTGATCATGGGCGCCTTCGGCCTCGCGAACGGCGGATTTCAGGTGCTGTTCCTGGCCAAGATCGTGCGCGCGTTCGGCCTGGGGCCCGTGTTCCGCGTGGGCATGCTCGCGTTCGTGCCATTGTTCGCGCTGTTCCCCGTGATGAACGTGCTGGCGCGGAGGAGCGATGGAGAAGGAGGGGGAGGAGGGGGAGGAGGGGGGGTGGGGCCGGGGGTGTGGGCGGTGCTGGCGGTGCAGCTGACGTGCGCGATGGTGATGGAGCTCGCGTACGGGACGATATTCGTGTACGTGACGCACGCGGCGCCGTCGAGGCGGACGCTGGGCGCGGTGAACGGGATCGCGCAGACGACGGCGAGCGTCGTGCGCGCGGTCGGGCCTGCGTTGTCGACGTCGCTGTTTGCGTTCTCGGTCAGTCACGATTTGATGGGAGGGTACGCGGTGTATGTGGTATTGGTGGCGATGGCGGCGGCGGCGTTGGTGGCTGCGGTGCAGCTTCCGAAGAATGGATGGAAGGAGGAGGACAGTGAGGAGGAGTGAGGTATAGACGTTGGCGTATCGATTCAGAGTAACGAAGGCGAACGATTTGTGGCATGGTCATCTATTCATCTACGCATCTATTCGCATACAAACGCATCTCCACATGTCACAGCAAACGCTGCGTTTAGTACCCCTTCTTGGGATCGACGACGTTCACGAGCTCCCGGCCCTCCCTCCACCGCGCGACGTTCTCCTCCAAGATATCCATCGCGTAGTCCCAGTACCCCTCCGTCCGGCCGCTCAGGTGCGGCGTCACGATCACGTTCCGACGGCCGTAGAGCGCGTGCCCGTCAGGGAGCGGCTCGGGATCGGTCACGTCCAGCGCCGCGCCGGCGAGCTTGCCCTGGTCGAGCGCGGCGAGGAGCGAGGGCGTGTGGACGAGCGGGCCGCGCCCGATGTTGACGAGGATGGAGGAGGGCTTGAGGTGGGCGAGGGTGGAGGCGTCGAGGATGTGCTTGGTGGAGGGGGTAGAGGGGAGGGCGAGGAGGAGGACGTCGGTGAGGGAGAGGAAGGTCGCGAGGGAGGTGGGGTCCGAGGTGGAGTACCAGGCTGAGGGGAGGCTGGAGGGGGTAATTAGATGATGTAGGGGGGTAACGTTGCGGTGTGTTTACCTGCCATCCGGGTCGCCGGTGCCCGGGAGACGGAACTCTTCTTGAGGCTTTCGTTGGCCGGAGGAGTTGGCGGCGATGATCTTTGCGCCGAATGCATGTGCTAATCTTGCGGATTCACGCCCGATCTGAAAGAGGAAACGACGTTGAGCGACGAGATTGCGCTCAGGGATGGGGAGTCGTACGTACCTGGCCGTAGCCCAGGATCCCGACGGTCTTCCCGCGCAACTCCTTGATAAACATCCGTCCGCCGACTTCTTGGTCGGACGGCCAGCGTTTCTCGGTCTGGGTGGGGATGATTTGCTCTTGCAGCTTGTGGTACAGCGCGAGGGTCGTCATGATGAAGTACTACACGCCCTTCATCCTTCAGCCTGAACATACTTTGAGACGACGACAGTAGCGATGTTTGCAGCTCACCTGCGGTATGCACCCGATGTGCACTCCGGCCGCGGTGGCCATCACCACCTCCGGCTCGCCCCCGCCTTGCTGCACCTCGTCCCAGATCGGCCGCCCGAGGTCGGCGTCGGCGCCCGCGCTGTGCAGCTGCACGAACTTCAAGCGGGGGGCCTGCGCGCGCCGCTGGAGGTTGGCGGGCATGCTGCCCACGATCGCGTCCGCTTGCAGCATCTCGGCATCTGGAACGGGCTCGCGACGCCCGTCGGGGTGGTGGAGGAGCGTGGAGGAGGGTAAGAGGGTGCGCAGGCGGGGGTGGAAGGGGATGCCGACGACGAGGATGGTGGTGAAGTCGGGGCGGGGCGGCATCACGGGGTCGGCTAGGATGTAAAGAGTATGAAGCTAGGAGGTCGGTGCAAGCGGGACGAACGCGCGAGTATACTTATGATAAGTGGTATGGCGGTCGAGTCGCAATTGCTTGCAGGACTGGCGCGATAGGCTCGACCCGGCGGCACGACGCGATCGGCATCATGATCTTGGCCAAGCATCGTCCATATGCATGTTTGTCCTCGCATTTCATCCCTGGCTAGTGTTCCGAGGAGACCAGCGTGTTATCTCGCCCGAATATCTCAATATCCCCAAGCCTCAAGCGCTTGCAGCTGGAGAACAATCGTGATGGCGTCATCCTCTTCCCTTCCCGTCTGCGAACGCCCTGTGGGGCTTGCGAACCTCGTCAGTCCGTCGGGGGGTTCGCGACGTCACCACAAAGACTATCTACTGAGCTTCGGTCTGCTCTCCAACCACAACTCCCGACATGTCTAGGCGAGACACTCGCAGAGACAAGCAGGGCCGTCATGACGAACGAACCACGCTCCTGCCGCACGACGATGTCGACGCGCCCCCCACGGAAAACAAGCAAACGCCCCTACCGAAAGTGCAGATCGCGACGCTCATGCTAGTGCAGCTTGCGGAGCCCATGACGAGTCAGTGCATATACCCCTTCATATACGAGGTGCACCACTTCCTCTGCTTCTCATAGCCTGGCGTCTGACGAGACATCACAGCTGGTCGGGACGCTGGACATCATCAAGGGAGATAAGAGAAAGGTCGGATATTACGCTGGCATGATCGTGAGTCTGTCGCATGGTCTCAGCAGGCCCCTGAACCGACCTTACGCTCCCAGCAAACGCTGTTCTTCGCGACGCAAGCGTTGACGGTGTTACAATGGAGCCGCCTCTCCGATCGCATAGGCCGTAAACCCGTTCTGCTGATCGGACTCTCTGGCCTCTGCCTCTCGATGGTGTTCTTTGGATTATCGACCACCTTCTGGCTGCTCGTCGTCAGGTTTCCTCTTCCCTCGTCTCCCGAAGACTTCAACGCTAACTTTTTCTTTTTTTTTATGACAGCCGATGCTTGAACGGAGCGTTGAACGGGAACACGGGCGTGATGAAAAGCATGGTCTGCGAGCTGACCGACCCGTCCAACGCCGCGCAGGCGTTCGCGCTGCTGCCCCTGACATGGGCCGTGGGCGTCACCGTAGGGTGAGAGCTCTCTCTCTTTGATGTTCCCCCATGTATACGCGCATATACCCGAGCAGGTGGATCCTGACCTTACAACTCGTTGCGTCGCAGGCCCTTCATAGGCGGAACGCTCTCGAGGCCGCACGACGCGTGGCCGAAGACGTTCGGCGGCCGATTCTGGAGGAAGTATCCGTACTTCCTTCCTTGCGCCGTCTCGGCCGGGTTCTCAGCGTTCGTGTTCATCCTCACCTTGTTCGTCCTCAAAGAGGTGGGCTACACTGCTATCTAAACGCGGCGTCGAAACACATTTCTGAACCCCCGATCTCGCCGCATCGCAGACGCTTCCCCGCCACAAAAAGGCCTCCGATACCTCACCGGAATCCCCGACTCGTGGTGACCCCAGCGACGGCGTAGACGAGAGCAAGCCTCCCCCGCTCAAGAGCGTCCTCACGCGTCCGGTCCTCGTCTCCCTCGCGAACTACGCCCTCCTCGCCCTCCTCGACATCGCCCTCCTCGCCCTCCAACCGCTCTTCTACGCCTCCCCCGTCCCCCACGGCGGCCTCGGCCTCTCCCCGCGCGCGATCGGGCTCGTCATGGGCGCCTACGGCCTCGGCAACGGCATCGTCCAGGCCTCGCTCCTCCCCCGCGTGATCCGCAAGCTCGGCATGAGGCGCACGTTCGTGTCGGGCATCGCGGCCTTCCTGCCGATCTTCGCGGGGATGCCCGCGATGAACGCGCTCGCGAGAAGGAGCGGCGGGATGGCGGCGGGCGTGTGGGCGGCGTTGGTGGTCGAGCTGGGGTTGTGCGTCGTGAGGGATATGTGTTACGGTGCGTGCGGCTTGTGTTCTGTTTAGATTTTGGTCTTGAGATCCGACGATGCTGAGAGTCGGTACGTACCGGGGGGTGCAGGCGTGATTTACGTGTACATTACGAGCGCGGCGCCGAGCAAGCGGTGCTTGGGCGCGGTGAACGGGCTCGCTCAAACGACCGGTGAGAGATAGTATCCCCTTTCCCTTCCGAATTATCGAGACGAGGCTGACGGCACACGGTGTGTTGTTCGCTGGGCAGCGTCGGTGGTAAGAGCGGTCGGCCCCGCGGCGTCTACGTCGCTGTTTGCGTTCTCTGTCGAGCACGATGTTCTGGGCGGGTACGCGGCGTACGCGATTTTGGACGCCTTCGCGATCGGCGCGCTGTGCGTCGCGGTGAAACTGCCGGAGGATAGGTGGGATTGTGACAGGCTAGGCGCAGAAGGAGACCGCGAAGATAGAATGTGAATGCGGTAGAACTACAGAAAAAAGTCGGTTCGGTTTCGTTAGAGTTCGTTTGCGTCGCTCACTGATGTTGTGCGTTATGGTAGGAAACCGTGTTGCGCTCGGAGAGTGTGTTAGAGTTTCGCGTCATGCTATAGGATGGAAACACGCCCATCTGTGTGTGTTGTTATTGAGGAAATTATCGCGGCCCTGCCCCAGTAGCGCTACGGCGGCGCCCTGGCTGTAACCTGATGCTGTAGGCTACCGAGGGTTACGTGCTCTTGATATACACACGATTTTATGAGACGGTATCCAACGAGATCACAATCGCTTCGTGTTTGGAATAGACCGCTCCAGGACTGTTATGCCGTCGTGACGCATACCAACAGGCGTCTGTGGGACACGGCGCGGGCCCGGACGACGCGTCTATGGGTTGTCTCCTAAACGGGGTTGTCTTCACCCATGACCTTCGGCTTCTGGTTACGTTCTGCATATTTGTTTCAAGTTTCTCGTCTTATAGCCCCGAACCTCTTGTCTATCCCCTTCTAGGGACTGAAGACGACGCACCGGCACCCACAGGCTACCCAAGGCGCTCACCGCTCGAAGCACAAGCTTGCTGGCAAGTGTTCGCCGACATCGTCGACATCCTAGTGGGATGTCTACTTTAGGATGTTCACCATCCTACATGAGAGGATGCTAGTGGTGGATGTAGCTGAAGGCCAAGAGGATGGTAGAGGTTGTTTATACATGCGTGAGTATATCCGGCAGAACCCCGTCCGCACTATGAATTGCCGTCGCACCATTCAAGCCGCTATACCATACAGCACCATACAGTTGAAGGTTCGCTCCCGCGTTCATAGACCTAGGTATCAGTCTTCGCGAGGTTCGATCGTGATGCACCGAAAGCTTGCATACTAACTGGGTGTCAATAGTAAGCCCTGCCAAAATCCCGGTGATATCGCTTTTGCGCCATGGCTGACGGTTTGCGCAGCTCAGAGAGCCGTCAGTCATATATATAGGAGCAGTACTGGCTATAGTTCGACTCTTCCCTAATCCTCAGGGATCCATGTGTGCTCTGTGCAGTAAAACGTTATTTACTCGCCTGGAACCGGTCTACTCTCCCATTACCCCAAATTTGGACGACGTTCTCCATGCTTTTCACTTCGGCCCTGCCGGCCTGGCTCGTACGGACGCCGCGAGTTCAAGGGTTCCTTTGACAGGCGGCTTCGATATGGTCCACTCGTTCCCTGTGCCCGGACTTTCGTGATTGTTCATCACTTGTCAATGCTATAAGGCTCATCATTGTCATCGGGCCGGGGAATCGACAGAAATGCTTATAAGGACCTTCTTCAGTCGTGTCCGCTCAGCGGATTTGGATTCCTCTCCATGATCATCCTACTCGTATCAGCTGGCCTTTTACTGTTCCTTGTTTCCAGGGTTTTGAGGTTTGGGAGTCGACGAACTGGCTTCCCTCCTGGACCGCCCACGGTACCTATCCTTGGAAATGCGCATATCTTTCCGAAGGATCACGCGTTTCTCCAGTACGTACACGTGCGGCTACACTCTCTTCCTTTGATCCAAGCATTGCAGACTCTCGGAATGGGCACGAACTTACGGAGGCGTGTATTCGGTATGTGAAGACCCATCAGTTGACGTAACGTTGATCATCACAATGATTGCTAGGTCATGCTAGGAAACGGGCCCACTATAGTCGTCACCAGCGCGAAAGCGGCTTTCGAACTCATGGAGAAACAGAGCGCAGTCACCGTCGACCGTCCGCCAAGTCACATTGGAGCTGAGATCGTGGGGACCGCAGTGAACCTGGCATTTGTTCCATACTGTCTGTTAACATTCTCTTTCGTTCGACATGACGCTGACAGCATGTAGCTGAGGATTGGCGTTTGATGCGCAAGGCAGCCAACTCCATTCTTACGCCGCAAAGTGCCGCAAAGCACGTTCCGATACAGCGAGCGGAATCTTTCCAGCTTGTGTATGATCTTCTTCATACGCCGGAGGTAAGTTGAATGCGTATCCTCGGTCGCACTTCACGAGCTGATGATTTGGACAGCGAGCCTGGTGGCACCTCAGACGGACATCCAACTCTGTTGCCTTGTCGATTCTGTACGGGAGGCGTGCACCAAGGTCAGAATCTTCCCATTATCTGGTATACATTCCCTGAGATGTGCGCTGGATAGATACGAGTCGGATGATCTCTCGGTACTGTTTGACGTCGTCGACCTCGTAGGGGAATTGCTAGATCCCGGTGCTCACCCTCCCGTTGACATGTTCCCCATTCTCAAATACGTCCCGGAGAGATGGGCGCGATGGAAGACCATGGTCAAGCGCCTTCGCAGCATGCAACGGGCTTTATACTTCCGCCTTCTCCAACAGTCTGAGGACAGGGTGACGAACTCGGAAGCATCCGAAGATGAGCCGTTCATCGATAAAGTTGTGCGTAGGCAGGCGGACTACGGTCTCAACAGGGAGAGGACTGCGTGAGTGGTTCTCCCATAATTGGATCCTTCTCTTCGCTCACTGCTCTGCCTCTGCGTTATGCAGATATCTCGGCGGTACTCTGGTTGAAGCGGGCAGTGATACGAGCGCATCGTTCATGCAGTCCTTCGTACTTCTGATCGCAGCTTTCCCGGATGCTCAGAAGCGGTTGCACGAGGAGATGGACCGTGTTGTGGGCTCGAAGCGTGTCCCTGAATACGATGATTTCGATAATCTGCCGTATCTGCAGGTACGCATCTTACTCTTACGCGGGTTCCTGTCGTATCTAAACGCGGCGAACGCCGACAGGCAACAATCAAAGAGGTCCATCGCTACAGGCCGGTCGCCCCCCTCGGTTTGCCGCACGCTGCTTTGGAGGATCTGACTGTACGCACTTTCCTTGGTATGGCTGCAGCGTTTACTGAGCATATCGTATAGTATGATGGATATTTGATTCCTCGCGGTTCCGCGATCATCGTCAATATGTGTCAGTGATACTTCCAAGCAGCACGCAAGAGCCTGGGTACTAATGAGATATCAGGGGGTATCTACCACAACCCCGACGTCTACGACGACCCAGAGATGTTCAATCCTGAACGGTATCTCAAGTCCGAATTTGGCACCAAGCCGGACGTGGACCCCTCTTATTTCAAGCACACGATGCCCTTTGGATTCGGTAGAGTGCGTGAATATTGTGGGCATTGCTTTCGGTGATTACCAACCATACATCCAGAGAATATGTCCCGGGAGGCACCTCGTAGACAACACGATTGTGAGTTCACATTCCTGATGATCGTTCACTGGGCTCAACGTAACTTCAGAGGGTCAACACCATGGACCTGGTTTGGGGCTTCACCTTTGGTCCTCCCATAAATGAAGCGACCGGAAAGCCGGAGCCCCTTGACCTGTGGAGCTACAGCGAGGTATATCCTGTTGCTGTCTTGAGAGGGGTCCGCACACTGACAGCGTATCCAGGGCCTCGGTACTGGCCCGAAACCATACAAATGCACGATCAAGCCTCGTTCTTCTCAGCACGCTGATCTCATTCGCAGCGAATTCGAGTCTGCCATACCTTTGTATGGCCCATACGAAGAGGGGCTCAGCAACGCAGAGAAGGAATGGCTCGCTCAACAAAGGTTCTCTTAGGACTGAAACCGGATTGTCCTACAAATATGACTGCGTCTCGAACCTGTACGCAACTAGGAGAGTAGACAGAGACACGGAGTAGGATGCAGTTAATTGATCCGCAGAGAACTACGGATGGAATGAATACCTGCCAGTAATTCGTCTGTCGTTCCAATTGACATGCCCTCCGCCTCCAAGAACTTCGATGCTGGTGCCGAGAAGGCCGAACACGCCCTGACTGTTCTTTTCCATCGAACTGCTGTTGATGTGAAGGTGGCGAGAGCTGAGATAATTATACATTAAGTTCGCCTCCAGTTCGTTTTCGCGCCCTTCAATATCCCTCATGTGTCCACCGGTTCAGGCCGAGTCAACCGCCTACTACTGTAGTTTTACGACCTTAGGTTTGTCCCCTGTCCCCTGGCAGCCCGAACTGAACCTAGTTTCCCGTGTTGTCCCCGGTCCCCCGCCAAAATCCAGGGCCTAAACTGATCGTGAGAATATAATTTCTTACTGTGTAAATATTCTTAACTGACTCTGGTCAGTTTGCGAACTTCCCACGGCCCCGAACTTGCAACTGTCCCCTGTCCCCTGGGAGGCGGACCGAACCTAAGGTCGTAAAACTACAGTATTCTCTACACCGGCCTTTGACCAGTCGCGACTGCTCCCGCCGGACAAGCCTCATGCATCACGATTCAGAAGATCATGAACCGTACACGATCACAACGCAAGCCGCTATATCCACAATAGCTTGGGGGCGTCCTCCCACGCACGACAGTAGTATTCTGCTGTGCTGGCGGTGCTCTCATTCATGGCCAACGCCCTGTTGGATGTTCTGGTTCTTGGCATCTCATCCACTGACCCGCCGACTGCACTGATCCGCCCACTGTGTTACTGCAGGGCAATGCTTATATGGTGACGTGTCCCGGAGTCGAGCCGTCGGTGCTTGAGTAGTGCCACCGAGGAGTAGGCATCTGTTCTTGCACATCGGCCCGTTTTTATGGAATTGATCTGACCCAACGGTCATCTGGACAGCAATCATCGTACGAGCATTGGTCTTAAGCACGGGGTGGTTAACCGTTGACAGATATTCCCTAACATCAACCAGTTGCCAGTCGTGTGCACTGGAGATACTTGCTTTGCATTCAGAAGGGCCGCGCCCTTTTGTTTGTTGCAAGCTTGTGAGCTCGGGTCCCGAGCTTCGTCATGATTGCATGATCACCCACTCGGACCGAGACATCGATAGCCCACACTTCATACGCGGAGCTTCGAGGACCGGCTGTTTCGCTTGTCGTATCGCGCAGAGAACATCCTTGCTCCCTCAGCCAATCCCGGGTGTCCGCGGAGCTGCTCAAGGGAACTCGCGATGCATGCTATCACCATTGTCCGGCGGACGACCCCTGCCATGCACCGCGCGATTGCTGCGGCTTGCACGCACCACCTTCGCGTGCGACTGGTTCAGTTTTCGTCCGTTTTTTCTCGGATGTCTCCACTGAAGCAGCCTATCGGATTCGAAGAATTGTGTCTACCTTCGTCGTGTTGCTGTCGGTCATACGTTCAACGTTATCGGCCCCCTTTGTTATGACTCAAGCGGCAGTAGTAGACGTAAGTACTTACTCTCATTCGCACTGGCAAGCTGCCGTGGTTCTGCGCAGTACTTGCAGCGCAAGGATGACCTCTGCATCTGAAATAATCATGAACCGAAGCCTGTCACCCTTCACAATGCCTGTGCCTCACGATGTGGCTTTCACGATGCCTGCCATCACCAATACTGCTCTCATAGAGTATAACGGAGTCAGACTAGCGCGCTAACTTGGCACAGAATTCTTCCTGCAGGACTTCCGTTCTCACCGAGTCTTCCGGGACTCCTCACACGCCGTGGTGGGAATTATCTGCCTTCTGCTGCCCACGGCTATAGCTTATGCTATAAGCCATATTATACCAGTCGGCCCGGGCACCACTAGGACTGCTTAAAAGGCCATCATCAGCGATGCCGTGGTCTGCAGATCCTTGAACGTCTCAATGATTACCCTCATAGCCTCTGCTCTTATTGCTTCTTGGGTCCTTTGGAGAGCTTCAAAAACTGGCAGCAGACGAGTTGGGCTACCTCCTGGACCACCGACGGTCCCGATTCTCGGCAATGCACATATTTTCCCCAGAGATCATGCCTATCTTGGGTAATCCACATACGCTCTCTTCATCTTGCGACCATTGCTCAAGGTCATTACAGCCTCACAGAATGGGCGCGAATCTACGGAGGCGTATACTCAGTAAGGAGCCTTTTTATTCGTGTAAACTGATGCTCAAAGCAATCATTGCTTGCAGATCATGCTGGGAAATGGGATCACCATCGTTATCACCAGCGCGAAAGCCGTTCGAGAGCTCATGGAGAAACAAAGTGCAATCACCGTTGACAGACCTGTGAGCCACTTTGGCTCCCAGATTGTCGGTGACGCAGTCAACCTAGCACTCGCACACTACTGTACGTTCACTTCAATAATCCACTGGTTGGATTGAACTGACAGTATGCAGCCGACGAATGGCGTGTATTGCGCAAGACTGCAAATTCAATTCTTACACCTCAGAGTGCGATGAAGCATGTTCCTATACAGCGAGCAGAATCCTTCCAGCTCGTATACGACATAATGAATACACCTCAGGTATAAAAAGCCATCCTCACTAGCGTTGCCTAGCTTACCGAATGATTCTGCAGCGGGCGTGGTGGCACCTCAGACGTGCATCCAACTCTGTCGCTTTGTCGGTTCTGTATGGACAACGTGCTCCAAGGTCGGAGTCTACTTCACCTTCTCCATGCGATAATTGACACATAATTAGTTATGAATCGGAGGAAATATCGTCGCTCTTTGATGTCGTGCAACTCACGTCTGAGTTGTTTGACCCCGGTGCTCACCCTCCGGTAGACATGATACCCGTCCTGAAACTTGTTCCCGAGAGATGGGCGGCTTGGAAATCGTTGGTCAAGCGACTCCGTCATTTGCAACGCGCTCTATATCTCCGCCTTGTCAAGCACTGCGAGAACAGAGTCGCGAACGGAGAAGGCTCTGAGCAGGAGCCTTTCATCGATCGAGTCATACGTAAAGAAGGGGAATATGGTTTGACGAGAGAAATGACGACGTGAGTAGACTCTGCCGAGAGACCGCTCCCATGCTCACCTACACCCGCTACGTCCAGATATCTCGGTGGCTTACTTCTGGAGGCGGGGAGCGACACAAGCGCGTCGTTTATGCAATCTTTTGTACTCATGATGGCAGCCTTTCCCGACGTACAAAAACGCTTGCACGAGGAGATTGACCGCATTGTCGGCCCTGAGCGTGTCCCTACTTTTGAGGACTTCAATGCTATGCCATATTTGCAGGTGTGGGAAACTCATGGTAACCCTCGCATTGCGCTTATCACACCTTCGAAGGCGACAATCAAGGAAGTACATCGTTTCAGACCGGTCGCGCCCTTGGGCGTGCCACATGCTACGTTGGAGGATATGACCGTGAGTAATCTTCTAGATGCTTCCACAGGCAGTACTAAGCAGAAGTCGGCAGTACGAGGGATATCTGATTCCACGCGGTTCCACGATGATCGTCAATTTATGTAGGTTTCTGAAGCTCGGATACTATTCAGCGCTTGACGAGATGATAGGGGGTATCTATCATGATTCCGACGTCTTTGAGGATCCGGAAATGTTCAGCCCCGATCGGTATCTGAAGTCTGAATATGGCACCAAGTCGGATGTCGACCCATCCGATTTCAGACACTCAATGCCTTTCGGTGCCGGAAGGGTGAGTCGTAGCGAACTCGTCGGTAGATCCTTGCTGATCTCACTTCACAGAGAATCTGCCCCGGGCGACACCTCGCTGATAATACGATTGTATGTTCCGATTGCTTTATGTCCTTTCGCTTATTCAGGTGAACTCACCATAAATCACAGAGAATTAATACTATGGATCTCATCTGGGCGTTCAACTTCGCTCCTCTTGTCAATGATGCCACTGGAAAGCCAGAGCCCGTTAACCTTTGGGACTACAGCCAGGCACGTACCGCTTTCTATATAGACGCCGGTTTAACTGAGTGCACACTTTCAGGGAGTTGGCACTGGCCCGAACCCATTCAAATGCTCGATCAAGCCTCGTTCTGCCCGACATGCCGATATCATGCGCAACGAATTCACGAACGCCATACCTCTCTACGGTCCTTACGAACAGGGCCTTAGCAGCGAGGAGAAATCTTGGCTGGCAAAGCAGAGGGTCTCTCAGGTCTGAAGGGTGCACCATGGTATTTGGAACATCACTCGCGATGCTCGCCCGCGTCATCCCCCGAACGACATCATCGTGCGTGATACATGACGAACTAACGATAAAACGATTTTGTAACCGCGCAAGCAATCGACGTGCGTTTTTACCAGAATGTTACTATGGATGTACCATAAATGCAATAGTGCACCATCAATGCAATCGGTCTGAAATCTCGTCACTGCGGGGCTCCCTCCCATCATAATCCCTACATATTAAATTGAGTGCATATACAGTACTATCTCATGATATGTGCCAAAGGAATAGAGCGAAGCATTAGGGGATGGGCCTACAGAAAATGTGCAACGTCGGTTGGGGAACCATCCAAGCATGCTCTAGCATGAAGACACGGCTCGGCTCAAGGGATCGGAACTGCTAAAATCTGGATATATTCAATTATACTCTATACTATACAGAAGGTACGTCTGTCTATCCCGATACGTGATATCTGCAACTTTGTGCTTGCTATGCAAGGATTACTGGCGGAGGTGCCATGAATGCAATTGAAGCTCCGCTTTAAATGCTGACAAAGCAGGGTCAGATTGCAGGAGCTCCCCGCCAGAAGGTCGCGGCCTCGGCTTCTCGGCCTTGGGGGACCCATTGTGCAATCTGCAGAGTCATCGACACGTCCTACCGGCATCGCTCTGGCAAGGCATCTCGCGTACCAAAATATTTGAGGCTTGACATACAGCTGCTGCATGATTTTGGCTACCATATGATTTATTTTCTGGGTGGATTAGCAATGAAATGACGATTGTGAACCATCAATGCAATCGAAATTGCATTGATGGTACATCCATAGTATGCAATGATGTTTACGTTGTTATCTCGTGAGAGAATTAGAAAGACGCTTCAATGTAGGAGTTTGACCTCGCAGGTATGAACAGGCCTCCCGCAAATTTGGGGATGTAGCAGTAAGAGGAAGGTAGGTAGGTAGGTATATTACCGAGTACGGTTCCTAAACGGGAACAGCCTTACATTGAAGAAACCTATGGCTGTCGTACTTGCATGATTGGTCCACCAAAGAGAACTTGGCATGCCAGAAACTTGTCCGTTTGCATCCCGCACGGCGCGAAGGTCGTATGATGCGTGTGAATGCGGTGCCATTGATGTCACTATATGTAGGTAGTGTCGGGCCAAGGGGCAGTCTCAATGGCGTTTCCCCCCAAGTTTCTGAGAGAATGCTTCTCGGCATTGATAGTGCGTAACCTCGCCACTGATAATCTGATCAGTCTCTATCGCATGAGCTTTCCGGCGAAATGTGACACACCGCGGCGCATGTACTGCGATCACACTGTTGCCCAAGCGCTTGTGGCATTGCGGGCACCTGAATGAGAATTTAGAATGTGTAAATACCATCATTAACACCGCGTACATTCGAGTATCCGTAATTTTTACCCGCTTAGACTGCAAGGCCATCAATGTACGGGAGATCTGCTCGTTTCGCGCTTTGCTTATTTCGCGAACAACTTGAGTATCAAAGACTGGGGCACGCAGTGCGTCCATGAGGAATTTGCGGACGTCCTGAGTGGTAACCAGGGGAGGAAGCAGGTTCAAGCTCTCCACGGGATCGAGACGCGGACTATGGCGGCGGATAAGATCCAGGGCAGGCAGAAGGAGGTTTGCAGACGTCTTGACTGTAGGTTGCAAGTATATGCGTAATAGGGAAAGGAAGATGTCCTCCGTGTCTGAGTCTGGGAGGTAGATGCGTTTGCAATACCTGACAATCGACCGGTGAGTTGTGGTGGTGCACTCGTAACGACGGCACCAACTCTTCCGCATTCATGTAGTCTTGGAGGCGGTACACGTATAGTTCAAGAGCATGAACATGGCGCCCGAGTCGACCGAGCAGAATGGCTCGGGCCTCGTATAGGTCTGACGATATAGGTCATGGAAGGTACAACAGCCTGAGCTAGACTACGCCCACCATCATTCGGAAGATGACCAAACAAACGATCAGTTTGATAGCGATCTGTGGTTTCGATGAAGCGCAGTAGTTTCGCATAGGGAACCCTCCATGTTTCTGAAGGAATTGAGCTTTATGTGTGTTCATTTTTGGATGAACAAACTTACTCTCGTCGTTCCGCTTTTTCGCTGCTAGAGTCATCGACAAGTATAAGTCAGCCAGACGATCATGAAATATGGGCGACTCCTCCTCGCGCTCTTCGATGAGATGTTCCAAATATCGAGCACATATCTGCGGATCGATGCCCTCGAGAAAGTCCGCTATAGGCTCACGCGGAAGCTCAGGCTCTTCGCAGGTGAAGACCTGATCGTGGATTCAGAGGAAACCGGGATACGTATGACGTTGCACACACCTCAAGCGCCATGCCAGGATCCACAGTGAGTAACCATTGTGAGGATTGGAGAATTAGTTGCATATATTCGGGCCCCAAGCGTTGGAGGTATGTGATCGAGGGTTGTAATTTGTCGCGAACATCATCTTCCTGCTCGCTCAAGCTGGAATAACGGATGATAAGACAGCAGAGGGTGGGAGCAAGAAGCCTCCCTTACCTTCGCAAAAGATCCAAGGCCTTGTCGTGCATCTTCTTTCCATGATAGAGGTCAATGAGCTCCGCATATTTCTACACGCAATTGGTAAACTATCTCGAGGTGCATGGGGTAGAGCAAGACATACCTGTCGACTGCGCAGGACTTCCTCAACCTCCGTCACCTCACACCAATTTTCCACTCGACACAGGGCGCCAATCAATCCAGGACGGACAATCAGGTACGACTTGAAGAGCGCTGTATCGACTATCTGAGCGTAGCGCACCAGTTGATCCGGTGTCAACGCGGATAGAGGCAAGTTAGGAAGGTCAAACAGGTCTTCGACCGACGCCTTAGACAAAGCTTCTATTTGGTGCGACTGCGCTGGGGTGATATGGAACGCGCCGAGGGCGCCTCCGACTTTGGGCCTTCGGTCGCTGAGGTATCGGAGCAGTGTTTCGACGGACCGAGTGAACTCGTCTAACCCATGCCATCATCGCGGTGAGCTGAAGCTCGCGAACGATAGAAACCAACACACCTTTAATAGGCGCCTTTCGTTTGCCAGAGATGGAGGCCGTATCGTCGTCCTTCGCGAAAGATGGTCGGATTGCGTCTAAACCGGTTTTAAGCTTGTCCCTGATGTTGCTGATCGAGCCCACGGGAGACATCACGCGGGAAGGCGAGACGCTATCCGACTGTGACGCGTTCGAGCCATCATGTTTATCCTCCTTGGGCTCCGTCGCGGAAACGTTATCCGACACCTGTGGCCCCCCAAACAGGTGAATCCAAGCATCTTGAGGGACAGACAACCGGCCAGCGACTGGCTCTGGATAAAGGGCCACGACCTTCGCAGGATTGATATCCAGTTCTATGAAGGTGTCCATCGCAACGTCGTACTCGCCGGCAGCGAACTTGGACACCGCATTGAGGCCTCGAATGAGCGAGATGCGACTGCTCTGCGAATTGGTAAGACCAACTACAAACGATTGTCTGTCCGAGACCGAACCTTATCAGGTAGCAACGCTTCTTCTAAGCTGTTCACAAGTGCAAGCGCGTCGGAATAAGCGCCGGCCGCCACCAGCTCATCAATCTGCTCTCCCCAAGGTTTCATCTCGAACCTCCATATAGAGCTTCCCTCCGTCGACGCAGTTGTTCGGTCTGTTGGTGTCGTAACCGCTAACAGCGGCGACTTGGCCTGCGGCGCTGATACAAGAACCCGGATAACGTATTGTTCGGGAGCAGCTTTTGCATGCGAAGGATCAAAAGGAAATGGTATAAGCTGCGATTGGGTATCCGAAGAGAATATGGAGGAGCGTATGTGAACCGCGGCTGGGGAGGTTGGGGAAGTTGACGTGAGGGATGAAACGGAAGTTGATCCGGGTGGAAGCGCAGAGAAAATATACGGTCTCACATATCCTGCGGTGCTGTCAGCACGTAGCATCCAGGCAATGCAAGTCGATCTCACCTATCTCATCTGGTATCGCGGGCCATTCGACGTTAGACGGCCGGGATGGCTTGCCATCGAGTCCAAAGAATATGCCAGCATCTAGCGGCTTTATGAGTTCGAGTCGTATATGAAACAGGGGACCCACTGTCTCTGCCAACGAGAACCTCGTTATCGTTGATACGCACGACCTGCGGCTTCACTTTCGCACCCAAGCCTATATAACCTCCTAAACCGCTTATCGCTCCCATGCCAATCCCTTTTCCCACAGAGACATTGCTGATGCCTGGTACCGACGTTGAAGCCGTGGGCGGAAATGTGAAATCCACCACGGTCATCGTTGTGACATTGAACATGGCGAAATCAGGGTGTGGATATCCCAAACAGATGGTCTCGTCGTTCACAAAAGTCATAGTTCGTGCAGAGTGGTCAAGCACAGTTTCCTGTACGCGAGATTAGCGAAGAAAGAATGAACGTTTTTCATGGCGCACCTTGGGTTCCTCGGGTTCACCATCCTTCCAGGAGTACACGACAACCTTACGCTTGCAGCCCACAGCAAGATAGGACACAACCGTAGGCACCGTCTTCGCCTTTCCTGCCTTGTCAAAGTCACCCTCGTCCGGCTTGCTTCCATCCACAAGGGTGTGCTGCACGCTGGAGTGAACGGCGAACGAGAACGCGCTCTTCGTCTTCGGGAGGGCAGTAGGTGGATGTAACGTCGGAAGAGGGTACAATGTTACCAGAGACTCTGCAGTAGACACAACTTAGCGAACGCGCGTTGATATGTACCTGTCAATGGAGCACACCCGACAGCACCACGAGAGAGTTGATCTCCTTGACGAACCCTAGCTGTTCGATGGCCCGGCGGAATAGGTTCTGCTTGACCTCCAGGAGCGTCGCACTTCTTCCTACAGATTATCACATGAAGCATTTATCGGTCTCCGACAGAAGGGATTAACTCACCATCGACGCTATATATGTGCAAGTTCCCCGTACTGGTTCCAATATAAAGCCTGTCTCCTGTCTCGCGAGGTGATGAGTCCCTCTTCCGAACAAGATTTGTGTTGCGCACCTTGTATCAGCAAAGACTCAACCTTTTCCTTAAAGCCATTGATGATAGGCGTAGGCGTTAGGAAAGGGGCCATTACCTTGCCGGTACGCGCATGGAGCCAAAGCAGGACGAGGGCCGAGTCACGTGTAGACGCGACTGGTCACAGATGATGGGGATGAGCAACGCCAGCGAGAATTTCCCGCTCCGACGTAAGTTCACACGCGTCAGCCACCTTGGCTCGCAACGGTAAGAACGGCTCGTGGTACGTCCGAGGTGGTTGACGTGCCCGGCACAACAGTTCACAGAACATCTTGCAGAGGGAAGTTGGTTATCGAGACTTTCCGGACAAAATGTTGGTAATAGAATTCGCGTCTTCGGCCTACATAGTGAGATCCTTGTATTCTGAAGGGATAAAACCAAGGAAATACGGAAATCTGTTCCCAACATAATGTTTGGACGTACTCTGAGGGCTTCCACTAATATTTTCCGCAATAATGATCCTGTGGCCAAAGCTCAGCGCGGTGTTCAAGGAGACGGGCCCAAACTCCCGGATCTGCTTATCTAAGCAGCGGAAACTTGCCCGCCACCTTATCGGCACGCCTCGCGGAGTTGGCGAAAGCTCGAGATGGCCAAGCGATCCGCGCTCCAGAAGTTACATCTCCAGACTATCGGCCCCAAGGCT